CTTATTTGTAGTGTGCCCTACTTTGCGATTCTCATGAATTCCAGTAAAATACGCGACATTTCAGACTTTAAAATTATGTAAGTTGTATGGAAAGACAAATAAAGTTTATTCTTTTAATTTATTTGTGTATTTAGAGACACGTATATTATATTATATTAAATACATATATTTACATGTCTAATCATATATAAATATTCATAAAAAATATACAAAATTGCGATTTTTTTAGTTTTATGATTTCCGCCTTCTTTATTTCATGTATCTTATATTTTCGATGTTTTACTATCTCTGAAGATTTTAACTATATTTTTATTTAAAAAAAAAACAAATTGCTTTCTTAAATTTTTAGTAATAATATGATATTTTTGATCTCAAGTTACAAACCCAAAAGTTGACAAAAAAAAACACATTATTATAATAATTAGCCACATGCGAAAATTAAAAGCTCCATACCACGAAGACGATCCCAAGACGGAGGCGAAGACAAAATTATCTGCGTTTAACAAATTGGGGAAGATGCTTTGAAGCTGCCGCCAGCAGCGACAAATGACAAGCATAACAAATGAATATTATGCGTTTTACTCTTGCTTATTTTTGTCTTATAACACCCAACAATAACAACAACAACAACATCGCAAAGCCGAGACAAACAAAAAATATGCGCAACACTTGAGAAAACAAAATACGAATCCGTAACAGAGGCAGCAGGAGCAGAGAGCGGGAGCGGGAGCGGGAACAGGAGAGTTCAAGTGTCGTGAAGTGGGCGAAATGTGCTATAAAATTGACACATTCAGAGCAGTGTCTAAATGCCGACTCAAATGCTGCGTCGCCGCTTACATAACACTAAAGGCAAAGGGTGTAAGCGCTGGACGGAAGCGTCGAATTGTCTACGCCAGCTACGAGCGGGCACTTAAGGTGGGTTGGACAGCGCTGGAGTGGGGGTTCCAGCTAGTCAGTGATGAATATGTTGTACATCGGTCGGCGGCCACTTGAGTGTTGCGTCCTTTGTCGTGGACATTAAATGGCTCAGCGCAATTGCAGTTAACGATGAATTATTGGAATAAGCCTGAAGCGGCTCACTTGAGAGGCAACGCACCGCGACTGTCACCTGATCCGAGAGGTTTTCGCACCCGCGCACGGCTAACGACCCAATGAAGTTGTTCGTAATGTTGCGCGCTAGGCTCGTTGGACAGGACAAGTCATCGGCTGTGTGGCAGACGTGGACACATGTTTCTACTTCTCATCGGTTTCAAATTCACAGGCCAAAATATCTTCCTCGCCCATTTCTCCGCGAGTTGCTGGAGCAACGGGAAATGGGAAGCGCATCTTTCACGCTGATTTGAGTTTGTTGTTGCCTGTTTCTATTTCAAGTTCCCATTCCCATTGTCTGGGGGGCGTTATGGTTTATAAAATTTCGAAATTCACATTGGGTATTTTTAAGAGTTTACTTTTCCGGCGAGCATGCCGTCTGTTGTTGCTTGTTTATCAAAACAGAATCCCCAGACTCAATCATGTATACGATTTATATGAAAATGCTGTTGCTTTAAAAGTTAATTAACATTATAAACAAACAATTAAATTATTATTCTACAAATGGGAACATCTCTGATATCGCTGACTGCATCAGTTGCAGTTATTTTATTTGGATAATTAAGCATGCTTCGTTGCTAGATTCAGTTCGATCTTCGCCTTTAACAAATACTTAAGCAATATTTATATTTTGATTGTATTTTGTGTATGAAGTCAGTTAAACATGCATTTATAATGCGCGCCTATTTGATGTTTTTCGTAAATTATATTGTTGGTGTTAATTAAAAACCTTCTTCGACGGTTTACTCAGGCCAGTTAGACATGAGTCGGAAGCAACAGTGAAGCCGCGGAGCTGCCAAATGTTTCACTGGCCGTGGCAGTTGGAATGAGTCGCCAGGCCTAACCTGTGCCAGGGGCACGGCTTTGTGGTTTCAAACAATAATTAAAAGCAAATAAACAAGATTTGTTCAACGGCTAATTGAAGCTCAAATAAATCAAAAATTTAACTAAAAGCGTCGCTCAAGACCACCCAGAAAGATCGTGCCCGAGCGCTGGCAAAAAGAGTTGAGTTGTAATCGAAGTGTTAATAGGCCAAACTGGTTTCGTTTTGGACATGTTGGGCATGTTGTGGGACGTGCCTGGCTAGATCGATCGATGCACAAAAATTGCTGGAAGCCAAGATGACAACCGAGATGACAAAAGACGAAACGTTGACGTTGCTCACTCATCGGCCGTTCATCTGAGAGTTGTCGAGATTTGCCGCCGAGCAGAGTCGCAGACAGAGGCTGCAGCAACGAGTTCGCTTCACGGCGGTTGCACTTGAATGCTTCAACGACATTCTGATTTGTGGTTGCGGCTGCTGCGGCGGTGGCTGCAGGCTGCAACTGCAGAGCATTGGCACAGGCAATGGCCTGGGAGACGGAGAGCGTGCGCCGTTTGCCCGGCAATATTTCACGTTAAAATAAAACTACAAATTTATCTATTCCGTAGTAAAAACAAACAAATGCAAAACGATTCAGAAAAAGGTGAAAGTTTTTAGTGCCATAAGCACACGCACTCGGTCTCCGCATATTAGACTCCCGAGCGGGATCTATGGGGGTTGCAACGGCGCTTTTCCTCTCCCTCTGTGTGTCTATCTCACTCTAGCTTGCTCCATCAAAGCGCAGCACAGTTAATTTCAATATGGCGTCGCAGTCGTTTCCGCATGGCGATGCTCAGATGCCGATGCTGATGCTGATGCTGATGCTGCCGTTGATAGACGCGCTTTAAATGCATAAAATTGCTGACTATAAATAACATTTAATGAAACACATTTTTCGATTCTTGATTCTACACGCTACTTCCCGCCCTTTTTTGTATGCCCGCGCTCATATTGTTTTTGGCAAAGGATTGAAGCAAAACATTTAGCTTCGCATCTTCTATGCGTTTTGAGTTATTATTGTAATTTGGCTGTGGGCAGTCGTGTGGAACGGAGCCGGAGCCGGAGCCGGAGCTGGGCCCTCACTCGTCATAGTGATGCTGTTGATATTCTAGATCCTGCTGCAAGCCATGTACTAGTTGGAATTTTGTCATATACACATTTTTCACAGTCTGTGAAATATAATAAGTTTGCGACAAGTGTTCATTATTTTTGCAGACCAATGCACAATTAATTAAGAGGGCATAGAAGATAGATCTTTCCTAATTCGGCTGAAGCTGTATTTACAATGTGATCCAGAGGAGATTGCCGATTCTATGTATTTCAACTAAATACTAAACCACCTACACACACACACGCACACACATACATCCGTCCAAAATATGTTAACGGTAAACTCGCGTTCATTTTTATGCGCTTCGCGTGCACATCTCAAAATTTAAATGTGCCGGAACGGCAAATGAAATAGCAAAATAGTTGTTCTTCGACTTATTGCGCCCCGCCCACCCATCCACACACAAGCACAAGCACACACACACACACATGCAGATAGAAACTAACAGAAATATGCAAGCATGTGTAAATTGCACTGAAAAACTCTTAAAATAGCAATATTTGTGTTTCCCTTTTTTTATTTTAAATGCTTTAGTTTTATTTAAGTGTTTATGGAGAAATAACTAATGAAAACGCCTTAAATTGCACATTTCGCTGCACTTCTGTGGGCTTTTTCTTCCTTTTCTTCTTCTCAGTTATTAATAAATACGCAGTGTGCTGACTGACTCTATGTATATGTGTGTGACTGTGTCTGTCTGCGTGTGCATGTGTGTGTGTGCTTGGCAATGTGTGTTAAAGCGCAGCATGATTCGCTCGATTTAAAATACATTTCCATGCCAAAGGCAACGCGCCGAGTTGCCGCCCTTTGATTTATAAATCGGACTCCTCGCCACATCCAACGCAACACATCGACACAGCGGCGGCAATTTTTATTTTGTCGCACAGTTTTTGTTTACTTAATGTCAATGCAATTAAATTTTCTGTTCTTTTTATGTTAACCAAAAAAAAAATAAAGTTCGGCAAATTTATAGTGAAAAATAACCATATGGGCCACAACAGCCCAATCCGAACATAAGGCTCAGTTGTATAAATTGCAGAAAAGAAACATCTTGTAATCTTCTTAGTTTACAGCCAAGATCTTATATTTCCACGCTTGAAATGCTTTTGCGAATGTTTAGTTACACTTTGGACTTAATTATCCCAACACAAGCAACACAATCTAGAGGTTGTACACCAGGGTTTTGTCTCTGCAAGTTTATAACAAATTATGAAAGGTTCTAGAAAAACTTATGAATTACGTACTTACACTATCAGGACACAGAAATATAAGGTGACTACGCTGCAACACATATGCCGGAGATGGGGTTACGGATTTGCTGGTAATGGCTTAGCTTAAAGGGTTAGACTATACTGCTTGCGCCTTATTCGTCCTTCTGGGGCACGCTGAGCTCCCAGAAGAGCTTGCCCATGCCACCAATACCGACCAAAGCAAGCGCCATGGTGACGCGATAAAGCACATTATCAACTGTAGAGCCCTTTAGGAAAACGGGCTTACCGTCCTTCTTCTGGAAATGCTCCTGCACCTTACGGATTTCGAAGTAACCCTTCTCAATCTGATCCTTGCTTGTCGCTGTTGCACGACGAGAGGCGGAGGTAGCAAAGCTACGTACGACGGCCTGTGATAACAAAATGTGCGGTTAGTTTGTAGTGCTCCAATAATCTTACGTAATTGAACCATAATATATCCATTCTTCCAGAGATATGGCTTCAATGAATTTGTGTCTTCATAGTCTACATATAATATATATGCCCCATTCATACTCACTCTGGACAAATTCATCATTTTGCTAGTTATTTTTGTTTTTAGCAACCGAAATACAAATAGTACGAAGAGCTGAGCGAAAAATTCACGGGCCTCAGATTATGACAGCTGTTTGACGTTTTTGGAGAACGGAGCTGCCACACTGTTTTTCAAATGCCATTCTCATTATTTGCCATTCACAATAAAATATATTGAATTACTCCTCTTAAACCTACAACTGTTTAATGTAAACTGATTTATTATTTTTAAATTACAAAATATCAGTGAAAGGGCGCTATGGGCTTCTTAACAGTTCTGAAAAAGATGCGTCAAAAAGAAAAGGAGATGCGTATTCTATTGCTGTAAGTTCCTGCACTCTGAAGCATATTTGTGATTCATGTTTCTATCCTTCTGAAGGGGATTGGACAACGCAGGAAAAACAACTATATTAAAACGTTTTAATGGCGAACCCATTGATTCAATCTCGCCCACTCTGGGATTTAATATTAAGACACTAGAGCACAACGGCTATACACTTAATATGTGGGATGTGGGTGGACAGAAGTCGTTGCGTTCCTACTGGCGTAACTATTTTGAGTGTACAGATGGTCTTGTCTGGGTCGTCGATAGTGCCGATCGTATGCGCATGGAATCGTGTAAGGAAGAGATGCAAGTGTTGCTTCAAGAGGAGCGCTTGGCTGGGGCAACGTTACTTGTCCTGTGTAATAAACAGGATCTACCCGGCGCCTTAAATTCAAATGAAATTAAAGAGGTATTGGAGTTAAAACATTTATTTTGATTATGAATATAAGTTTATTGACATTTAATGGCTACAGATACTAAGTTTGGATGACATCACCACGCATCATTGGCTGGTAGTCGGAGTAAGCGCAGTAACTGGAGAGAAGCTGCTAAGTTCCATGGATTGGCTTATAGATGATATTGCTAAACGAATATTTACATTGGATTAAACGCTAATGGCTACTTCTCTACCAAATACATTTTGTATAATTTCTCATCATCCTCACTGGAAAAGCTTGGCTTAAAATTCACTTTGTGAATTGTGACAAACCCTTCATCCATAGTTGGCGTTTGATATTTCTTCTTCATCATGTTGAATACCATATCATTAATGGAAGAATGATCAGTTTCCAAGAGTTCTCGATAAGCAATATTGTGTTTTGCCTGCGCTACTGACACATTCATAACAAAGCAACGACACGGAATTTGCTTCTCCATAGCCAGGGTCAAAAACCTCCTGCGTGATGCCACATCCACATTGGTATTATCCACTACACATGACTTACCAGCGATTAGTGCACGCTGACAAGCATTTAGGCATGCCTGTGTGGTACCTAAAGTATCTGCATTTATGATTTTGTAGCCTTTGCTTCCAAGCACCTCGGCACAGAAGTGACTCTTGCCAGAACCCGGAAGACCAACCATAATAATCATCTCGCATTTGCTCGTATTAAACTGAACATCATCGGGTTCAAACTGTGCAATTTGATCGTTCACACTGCTGGGATCGAAGTCTGGTTTGTTCCAGTGCTCTGCTCGTTTACCCAAAAAATGCGACTCGGGCGTGTAGAAACAGACTCCCACATTTGTGGCAAATAGACGATCTGCTAAGGAATGATCCTTCCGTTGTTTAGTAGCGCCTTTGCCTGTCTCTGGTCTGCCAGCTGCATCGCCAACGAAGAAGCAACGATCCAGTTTAATGGCGACGCTCTCATTCATCTCACTGAGCAGATGCTTCCACATGCCTGGTAGCGGCTTGCGATAGTAACCATCGCCTATAGCAATAAACACCTGCACCGGTACACCCAACTTCTTAACTATATTCTTGACTTTCACCTTAAAATCGTCGAGACTGACTTTGCCACGCGCAATGCCACCCTGATTGGTGAAAAAGCAAATCTTGAATCCGTCCTTATGCAAACGTTGTAGCTTCTGTGGCACCTCGGGATATATGATCTGCCAATCATCAGTATTCTTCGGAAATACATTTCCCGATTTTGTCTTAATAATAGTGCCATCCATATCATAGGCAGCTATCTTACTGGAAGGAGTCAAACCAGCGCTGTTATAGATTAACATTTTACCATTTGCGACAGAATCCCATTTCTCTTCCTTTATGGCAATGTCCATTCCAATGGATGCTCGCTGCTCTGTGGTGGTCTCTGCGCTGTCTTTCTGAAGCTCTGGTGCTGGGTTAAACACCACCTCGTATGGATGACGGCCATAAACAATTTCCAATAGGTCACCATGCCTAAGCTCACATTCCGTGTGATACATAGCCATGGCGCCATTAATGCCACAAGGATTGACACCCAATACCTTCAACTGAATGCGTCCAAGTTCTAAATTCACTTGCAATCGAAGCTGTTTCTTGGAGCAGCGTGCATCACGGATTCCAGTCTCCTTGCAGCGTCCCAGTACATTGTCACCACTGACCAAGTGTATGGCACTATGCTCGGCCTCCATGGGCTTCAGTGTGCAGATTCTCGCTACGGAGCGATTTAAGTATTTGGCCAAAGCCATCGTTGAGAATTCGTATATATTTTTTTATACTTATACTTTTTATCTGTTTAAGTATACGTCTTCTACACAGAAATTTTACAACTCTTTTAGAAGTGAAAGATTTTTACTTTATGGATGTATAACATATTAAATCGATTCTTGATATATACATGCGCGATAATTTTATTCAACAGCTACATCAATATAAGCGTTATCGATATTTGGCGCAACCATTTTCAAACTTATGCAAATAACTAACTAAGCTTAATTGTAGCTTAGATGTTTTTCTTTTTAATTGATTTCCAGATTAATAACACATTAAAAAACATGTGTGTAATAGTAGGCATTTTTTAAATTGAATTAACGTAGAATAGTGGAGCAGTTTTAAAACTTAGTATACTATGTGAGCCATCGGACTCGTTTCTAAAATTAACATTTATTTGTAAAAATTAAAATTATCTTCTTTCACAAATTTACTTCCACAATGCAGAGGAATCTGATTAATAAATTGCGTGTATGTATTAGTAGCTAAGCATATATTCAGAAACTAATTAAGAGTCCATAGCCTCTTTTGCGACAGGTCAGTGGATGTTACTCTATAGCACCGACGCTTGTCTTGACTCGTTCCATTCAGCAGTCTCCGATTAAGATGAGTGAAGCAGGAGGTGCAAAGATAACACCCAAGATGGCGAACCTACAAAAGAAGTTTCAAGAAGACAATGATAAACCTGTATTCCTGAAAGGCGGAGGCATGGACAATATTTTATTCATATTGACCCTTGTGCTTTGCGTCGTTGGCGTTGTTGGCGATGTACTTCTATGGTTTAGCTACATATTAGCCTGATCTAAGATAATGTTTAATTAAAGTCGTTCATATCACAGAATAAGTTAATCAAGCTCAACATGTGGTAATGTTACTGTTCAAAATAACCTTTTTTAAATTTTCATATTAATGTCATACCAATTAAGATTAAGACAGCAGCATTTCATTCACCTTAAATAAAACGCATATGAATTTAACTTTAGAAGCAAGTTTATTACACATTATCAAATAAGTTATAAATTATGGGGCAGACTTCAAAGGGGGGCTTACACATGATTGTCATTTTTGATTTATGCTTTCTTCGTCTATTTTGTCTATGACCTGCTTTAAACAGTCCTTGGTTGAAGTCTTCTCCAAGTCGCAAATTCTTGTTAAGTCCATGGTGGCGATCTGCTCAATCATTTCTTTAATCTTCTCCTGCTTTATTATCGACTTTACGGATTGGCGCACTCCACTGCGTGGGACGCCCGACTGTCTATGGATTTCCGTGGAATCGTTTTCAATATGTCTGCCTTTGGCTCTATAGTGCTGCTCAATTATTTTTCGGATCTTAAGTTTAGTAGCAGCACGCGACTTTCGCGTTGTTTGCTCCAAAGCAAGATTTCTCAGTTCCTGGAAGTTGATTTCTTTTGCTGCTTCAGGACCGTCTGCATTTAGTTCCAGTGATATTTCTTCCACAGTGGCTACTATGCCATCGTCGTCATCGATCTGCACTTCAACATCATGGTCCACTGTTGAGGGTTGCTCGGAAATATCAATTGGCTCGAGGGTTTTGCTATCGAATTCGGCTTCTTCTTTTAAGAAATTATCTAAAGCCAAATCCGAAGCTACTTCGATTTTATCAGGCTCAGTTTTTTCTTTCTTACTTTTGTGTTTCGTTATTTCTTTTGGATCCTTATCGTTTGGTTGCTTCTTTGCATGTGGGAGAGCTGTCTCAGCAGGCAAACGTTTCTTCAGAATACCTATGCAAGGCTTTGTCTTAATTCTCACTGGCAAGATGGAGTTGTACTGTATGCCGATGCTATTAAAGCAATCTATAAATTCCAAAGTTTCAAAATCCTCCTGCAAGGCTGCCCATAGTTCCGTGTTATGCTTATTTTTTGCTTCCACCAACAAGTGACTATAGATAGCAATTTCTGTTTGAGTATAGTTCATTGTTTCATCTTTGCTGTAGATCCAATTGTTGTTTATTTCCATGAAACGTGATACACCGCTCTGTGCGGCCAAGTTTGCAATGTGAACCGACACATTGGGATTAGCCACCTCCAGACGATGCAATCGAGAAAGCGCTGCTCCACCTGGATAATTAGTTCCCGAAATCACAAGCAAGAAGATGGTTATCAGCACATTGAAAAGCAAATGTGACGCTGCAATCAATGCGAGAAAGCTATGCCATGCCGATTTAGCACTGTTCATCCACCTACAACGGAAAATAAATGTATCTAGCAACATATTATTAAAATTTGTACACTTACAAACGATGGCAGCCGCATGCTGCAGCAATATTGAGAACGGGAAAGACGTAGATGATAAATCGAAGTTCCTTATGTGGCAGTATTGAATACAACAGCACGAATGCCAATGCTGAAAAAGTCAAGGATCGTAGGCGCCTCTCAAAGTAAATACCTATCGGCACAAAGACTAATGAGGCACCCATGGCACGTGGAAGAGCTGAGTAAAAGTACCATAGAAATGGTGATGTACCCCAGTTCGAGCTTTTGTTCAGTATCGTATTGTACCACAACACTTCACCCTCAGGCCATAGCAACCGGCGCCAAAAGAACGAGTCCACCAATACAGTCGCTGCCAGAATGCACACTCCAGCTGGCAAAGCAATCTTCAGCAGACTGTGAGAAGGGAACAAATATTAAGCTGGGTCTAAAGATAATAAATATTTAGTTGCCGTACCCATCAATGGATAACTTTTGTTTCAACAGGTCTACCGCAAGCAGTAATCCCAAAAAAAGTGCCAACTCGGAGCGAAATACAATGATGGCTATGCCGGAGCAGATGATGAAGGGCTTGGTTTGGCCTCGCATCCAATAAGTAATTGCATATAGCACTGGAATGAATCGAAACACTTTTATATTTGAAGATCCACTTGAATATAATATTAAAACATACCGAATGGCAATGCAAAAATATTTGGCAGGGGACGCGTCATGTAGAAAATATAATGAAATTGCGTTATGGTTATAGCAGTAAACCATAAACGCACCTCAACGCCGAAGATATTGGTAACCGCCCTTCGCAAGTTATTCCACGCAACTGAAATGGCGCCAGCTAACACAAGTCGGACTGTAAAAGATGTTTGTTAACATAAGGCTTGATAATTATGAGTTATTTTATCAGTGTCTTTTACCTACATATTGTGCCCAGAATTTGTTGATATTCAGCACCTCGAAGAGCAGCACAAACGGAGCAGAAAATATCGATACAATGAGTGGTCCAACAAATGTACGAGGCACAACTCCTGGATATTCATGATGATCGTATTGCGAGAAATTGTTCCGCAGATACAAAATATCGTGCATGGCCTGCAAATTAAAGCTCTCCTCGACCTTAGTGAAAGGTGTATAGACGAGGTGGGCGGCGGCCGTCAGAAAGACCAGGCAGTCCATTTCGGATCGCAGTTGTAGTCGAAGCGAACAAATTAAGATCAATATTAACACTTAGCTGGATATGAAATTGGCATATTACATAATTGCCATGATGGTTGGGACACCAAAAGATATTTATTTTGGTAAATGCACATATATGTATTTCACAAACACTGACGTGTTATTCTGATCAAATAACCGGCCGGCGTCAACAAATATTTGTAATTGTTATCAAAATTGTTTTAAATTTTCAGCATTGCCAAGTGTTTCCAATTACCCCAGCATATAATGTATATTTGTTTTTCTTTGGAGCAAAATTCACATTTCCAAAATAAAATCGAAATTTGTTTTAAAAATAGAACCGTTCCAAGTTAAAAGCAACAAAAACATAAATACAAAAGCAACAATAGGTTTTTCTATCAGCTGCTCATGACTCACGAGCTCTCACGATTACAATCGTCGTGACTGTCAAACTTGGCAGCCCTGTCAAGGCGATTTGAAATTTCAAGTCATCTTCATCATCCAGCCGACGGCAAATGAAAAATAATGGTATTTTTTAGACACAACAAAATGGATAACAATGAACCAAAAATCTTAGATGAGAGTGATTTTTATGTTATATATAAGAAATTACAACTTCAGCTGGAATTGCTACATGTCCAGGAGGACTACATAAAGGAAGAGCAGCGCAATCTGAAAAAAGAATATGTGCATGCCCAAGAAGAGGTTAAGCGGGCCAAGGCTGTGCCTCTAGTCATTGGACAATTCCTCGAGGCAGTTGATGAAAACACCGGTATTGTGGCATCTACCACAGGTTCAAACTACTATGTGCGTGTGCTGTCCACAATTGATAGGGAACAGCTAAAGCCGTCTGCTTCGGTTGCATTGCACAAGCAGAGCAACTGTTTGGTGGACTTGGTGCCACCAGAGGCGGATAGTACCATCTCAATGTTATCACCAGAAGAGAAACCCAATATTAGTTATGCGGATATTGGCGGACTTGATATGCAAAAGCAAGAAATACGAGAAGCTGTTGAATTGCCATTGACACACGCTCACTTGTATAAGCAGATTGGTAAATAAGCTTTCGTAAAAGCATTAAAATCAATTAAACGTTTGCTTCCCTATCACTATCTCTAGGTATTGACCCACCCCGCGGAGTGCTTCTCTATGGCCCGCCGGGCTGTGGTAAGACGATGTTGGCTAAAGCAGTCGCTAATCACACCACAGCAGCTTTCATTCCTGTTGTTGGCTCGGAGTTTGTGCAAAAATACTTGGGCGAAGGACCACGTATGGTGCGTGATCTGTTCCGCTTAGCCAAACAAAATGCACCGTCTGTTATTTTTATTGATGAAATCGATGCTATTGCAACTAAACGTTTTGATGCTCAAACCGGTGCTGATCGCGAAGTGCAGCGCATTTTGCTTGAGCTATTGAATCAAATGGATGGTTTTGATGAAACAACCAACATTAAGGTAATTATGGCCACTAATCGCGCTGATACTTTAGATCCTGCTCTTCTTCGACCCGGACGCTTGGATCGTAAAATAGAATTTCCATTGCCGGATCGCCGTCAGAAGCGTTTAATTTTCACAACCATAACAGCCAAAATGAATCTTGCCGAAGACGTTGACTTGGAAGAGCTTATTGCTCGCCCGGACAAAATTTCGAATGCTGACATTAACGCTATTTGCCAGGAAGCGGGAATGCATGCAGTTCGTGAAAATCGTTATATCGCACATGCTAAGGATTTTGAAAAAGGCTACAAAACAAGCGTACGTAAGGATGAATCTCAGCACGAATTTTATAATTAAATATATTAAACTAAAAAGGAAGAAAAAGTCAGCTTAAAAGAATGAGAACTTATGAAAAAATCTATTTTGTTTTTATTGTTTGGCGCGAAAAGTCGTTTTTATTGTAACGTCTTTCTTGTTAACGTAAACATGTGAATGCCTCTCAGCAAAAAAAAAATAAGACCAGCTGTTGTTTACATCGGTGGCTGCCGCTCTTTCTGGTTAAAATATTTTAAATTTCGTCCTGGTCGAGATATATTTTTAAAATTATTAATTATGACTAGCATGTCATCAGTGGAAACCTATGTCACGCGCATTAAGCCAGCCATAGAGAATTTTCTAAAGCAGCCAAATAAAGCAAACTTGTCGGAAGTTGAAAAAGAAGTAAAAGGATTTGACTTTGGGCAAATACGCATATTTCAAATACAAATTGTAGTGCCACTTGTGGTTAAACTCGGTGAACTAACAGGGTAAGTCCAAAGGGACTTAAGAAAAAATTGGCAACCTCAACTTTAACTATTTATTGTACAGTGAAAGTCAGGAACTACGCGTGGGTTTGCTGGATTGCTTGCGACACATTGTGTCTAAGATATATTTGACGGACAACAAAGCCGTGCGCTCAATACTGGCGGTGGTACTGCAACAGATACGAGATCGTAATGGAGCTGTAATGCTACCCAATCTCACAGAGGAAATCAAATTGGCGGCCGTACGTTTTATTACGGTTACCTTACAGCGGTCCACAAGCGATGTGCTCGAAGCTTTTTACGAAAAAAATGCAGTCGTGATTATTGGCCAAATACTGCTCACATTAATGGAGTTCATCTCAAAGGAGAAGTATCGCAAATTGGTTAATTCATCGCTTGAGTGCCTATTGGTACTATTCTATGTGCACGATGATGCTGATGCTGGAGACGTGGTTTTGCGCAATCAAATAGCCGATACCATATTCATATTTCTACCCAAAATAGTTACAGTGCTGTTCGAAACAGCAATGGCGGACGATAAAATTGGCGAATCAACTAAATCTGTAAGTCTCTAACGAAACTGCAATTTGAGTTTTGCTACTTATGATTCTGAATTATATTATAATTCATAGTTGGGCATTAAAGCACTGGGCCGTATTACCTGCATTATGTTTGAGGAAACCTCCGATGAGTTTCTTAAGGCACGTTACGACATGAATGCATTCCAGGCACTTTTTAGCACTGCTGCTATAGACGAAAACATTGAGCTACTAAATGATATTAACATATTCGGAAGCAAGCGCCTTACTCTCGAACAAAATGAGGAACGCTTAAAAAATTTACAAAGTAATTTACGATCTGCACAGTGGATAGAAGCCACTTCAAAACATATGCGCATCATTTTTGTGGAAACATGCATTTTGCGCGCCCACAGCTCAGTTAGGGTGCGAAAAATGTATGCAGAAATGTGTTGTTTATTGCTAAAGAATTGCGCGCACAATTTGAAATACAATTTTATACATCTGCTGGAGAGCGTGCTGGCTTTATCAGAGGATGAGGAGAAGGATATAGCAAACATGTGCCGGGCGAATATTGCTGAGCTGCAACAGCTCCCAACCTGTGCTGGTATCTTCGATGAGAATGCTGAACTGCTACTAGACACTCATCTTAACAAATGGCCCCGTATTTTACAGCGTTGCGATGACAGCGAACAGTTTGCCGAGTTACTTTTCTTCAAGGGTTTCTTGCGTAATATCAGCACTGATAAGTTACAATTGCTGTTATTGTTGCCCAAGAACCTGGATATGTTTGTTATGTGTCTGCTGACGGGTCTTGATCAGTGCACATCGTCGAACCTGCTCAATGAAGAGTACGCGCTACGGCGCCTTCAAGAGGGAAGTACATCGGAATTGCAGGCACTGTCCGCCAACCTGCATTGGCGCCAATTTAAATATCTTAATTCAAAACGCTGTGTAGATGCACTTTATGATATTGCCGCACTATTAGGCGCTGAGCCGTCTATAAATCGTCTGCTATTTGATGTTTGCCAGGAACTGATCGAGCGACGTAGTTCTGTCATTAATGAATCGATTTTACTAATGACGCTGATGATTACACCACAACAACGGATTGCTCGAGAGAGTCGTCTATTGCTGGCGGAACTTTTTGTAGATCAGCTTCTCGCAGATGAACACTGGCACTTGGTACTGCAGCCGGATGCTGCCTGGCGACTTAAGATCGAGAAGGTTCTTATTCCACTTCAGAACCTTACTTAATCACATAGTAATTGCTAAACTTTTGCAGCCTACCGCCTGGTTTTCAGATTGCACACCTGGTCTTTACTCATCTGCGGTGGAAGTACGCACTCAGGATTGTGATTCAGATGATGAGAGTGACTCAGTCAATAGTCGTGTCAGCATTCTGGATGCACAGTTTAACGTGCAACATATTTGCTTAGTATTGGACGCCCTGGGACATTGTGCCAAGTTTATTGGTGATACTTTTGACCGTTACATATTTCGCAGTTTACACAAGGTGTTGCTAAAATTGGGTAGGTAGTATCTTCTTCACATCCGTCATATGAGATCGCACAGTCAATTGTTTATTTACAGCCAGTAGCAACACGATGGTACATCATGCAGCAACCTTTGCATTTGTCTCTATGCAGTTGGCTTTAAAATATGCAGCCCCTTCACATTTCATAGAATGCTCCACTGACTATCTAACCTTCCATCTAAATGCACTGTTAAAGAAGGTAAGCCACGCGTGTAATAAAAACGCAACTATGACTACAGCCACGACTTTTATATTACAGTCACCCGAGAGCAGTGCAGCCGTAGATATACTTACTGTTGTATTGCAGTACAGCACGCGTGGAAGTGTGCCACATCTGGATTCTATTTTTCAAACAATATGTGAAGAGTGCTGCAAGTCGCATCAAACAGGCAATGTGCACTCCTACTTGCGCGTCTTCAATGCATTCCTGAAACATGTGATCAACTGGCAAGGGACTATTGCCACAGAGATCACTGACTCTCAGATGAGTGTAGATGAGGAGCATAATATCTTAGATACTTGGCTGAATGTGCTAAATAAACAGCCAACTGACACTTATGTATATTTAAATAGTGTGCCAAATGAAGAAGCAGATATAACTATGCCAGAAGCAGAAATTGATGAGTCTGTAACAGATCAGCCTTCGAAATCCAGTTTGCCGCGTCACATTGAAATTATTAAAGAGATTATTAGTCAGTCCATCAAGTTTCTTACAAACTCTGAGCAAATACATCAAATTCATGCATTGGAATGCTTAATAAGTGGTGTACCACTACTCAGAGACTATGAGGACGAGCTTCTTCCTCTGGTGCATCTGTTATGGCATCCGTTAGTCGAAAAGTTTCGGCAAAAGGACTCAGTGGTGCTAAACCGATGCTTCAGCTTACTGCACATTCTCGCCCTGCATGCTAAGGAATTTATTTTAAAGAGAAGTCTCAATGATGTGATACCCCAGCTTAAGCAGTTCTTGAAGGCAGCCAGTAACCACAGCAGCATGGAAACATTACGAGCGTCCACCCAGGAATACAAACTGCAGCTTAAGCTACTGCATGACCTAGCTCCAGTCATACGCAGCCTGCAGATTGAGGGCAAACATCTCCATGACCTGCTTAACATTGTAGTCTTGTACTTGTCCCAAGCACAGCCCAAAGAATTGCAGGAACTGGCCGTGCAGTTCTATGAAAATTTAGTAACGTACAATGGACCATTTGTGTATGTAACGCTCCTACAACGAGCCCATCTCAAGGACTATAAACTGAATGTGGATAAAATATTTAGCAACTTAGGATTTAGCTTGGCAGTGCCAATCGAACCCGATGTGTACAAATAAAGTTAAAAAATTTCATTATAGCTGAATTGTTATAATCTATATGCTGCTGAACCGTTTTCATTTCACACAACTCCTTGAATTAAAAATATTTTTCGATTATTTGTTTCTAACTTGCATAGATTTTTTTATTAAAATGACTTGTAAGTTTATTTAAACAAGGATTGAACAAAAATTTAATTTATACAGAATCGTAGCCTTTGGAAGTAAAATGTAAAGTAAAGGACTTTGTAGTTGAGTGTGGGAGCGCACATTATTGCCAATATAGAAATGCTATGCATAAACACAATACATTTGCTCACTGTTTACGTTTTAAGTATTTTTTTAATCGCACAATCACTGTACAGTGAATACTCAGATGCTTAGCACCAATAAAACTTAGCATCCGACTTCTAAAGCCATTTTTATATAATCATTCTTGTATGCAAAGTTTTTGTATCAAATATAGCTGTATTTGTTTTTAAGTGATTGCTAATCTGTGGCTCTCATCCCTAAATACCACAACTCTTTCTCTAACTCAAATCGTAGAAGCTGTGTACATAAAGGTATTTTGAGCAATTTGGAATCTTTGTTGTTTTGATCGTTATAATGCAGTTGTGGGTTTATAAGCTGGGGTGTGGGAGAATGTGGTGTTCATAGCTATTATTATGTATAGGAAGCAGGTCTCTATGACTACGCCAGCCAGTTCATTAGACTATTGGCATAAGCCATAGGCTTCACATCAGGATGTGGCTGTGAATAAGGAATAAAATATGATTAGCATATTTACTAAAAAGAGTTCCTGTTTGCAATAATACTTACGACAGCCTGAAATGATGTGTAATTTGGTTTTAAATTGTTACCAGTTATTGTTATAAATGCGCCCATGTTGCCCATAGTATCACTGTAAATAGACGTTTAGGCGTTTAGACCTTTGAATTGTACTACTTGTATTAAATTTGTGGCAATTACCAATAATTTGGCGCTGAGAAGACAGTTATGCATTGACCATTGTGGGCCACTTCATAACCCATATCTTTGACCTCGTGACTGCGAATGATGTAGTCCAATTTGTTGGCTTTACAGAATGCTTCAGTCACGTCCGGACCAAATTGTATGCCCACACCACGTTTAGATGGGCCACGACCCATCCATTGCTGCGGGTCGGACCAGAGCAACTCGCACATGAGTCCCTCTTCTGGTGGCTGGCAATTGCGTTCGATTCGTCTTATATTATCCAATGTAACATTGTCTGATGAGAACAGACCACCATGCATAACCAGGATTTTCTGATTAATGCAATGGCACAAAGGCAGCCAGTTAAATACTTGCGTAAATATATCCGCCATCGTACTAGTGTACTTGGCGGTCACCTCGCCCGTGAATCCATACATTTGATTCATATTGATGCTTTCGTGATTGCCTGAAAATAATTAATTATGTAAGCTTTGAGTTTAACGATTTGTCATTTGTCATAATTTAAACTTACCTCGCGACAAGAAGAAATGGTTTGGATAAAGCAACTTGAAGCCGAAGAGCGTGAATATGCATTCAACAGAAAATGATCCTCTATCAACAAAATCTCCGTTGAACAGATACGGATTCTTCTCTGAAGGTAACCCGTTTATTTCGAAGATATACATTAGATCATAAAACTGGCCGTGTATGTCGCCACAAATAGTAAACTTCTCTTCATCTGGAACTTTAATATCCACAAGGGACGGCTGCGCACGCATGTACACATCAATGTCACAGAGTATCTGCAAACATACGCAAGTTAAACAATGCATTTCAAAATTCAAATTAAATTGCCGTAACTACCTTATAGGCGAATTTGCGATGCAGTCTCTTTTGTGCCTTATAGTGCTCCATAAGGTCTTTCATGAATTTTAAAGTAACCTTGCCATCCTCCAGTTGGGGTCCCTTATAATCGTCCTCAATGGCTACATTAAAAATAAAGATAAATTAATTATGAATGCGTCGATTATAATATGCTTAAATTAAAACAAATTAAGAACTTACTGATGTTCTCCATGTCTCTGTACATCTCAGCGAGAGACTTCTCAGGCTTATCTACAGCTATAGCACGCTCAAAGGCTCGCATCTTAACAATTTTACTGCACTCGGTAAACTTTAATTTAGCGTCCTTATCATTGGGTCTGCATTTGGCCACCTGAACAGATAGCTTATCAATTCATGCGTAACAGGTTTTTAGTGTAATAATTGTACTTACATATTCAAAATCAGATAGCGCCTGTTTGAACTTGCCTAGGGACATGTGCGCCGCCGCGCGTCGATAATAGCCCTTTAAGTAAGTGGGATCAGTTTTTACTGCCGAAACACCATCCTGCAGAGCCAAACCAAAACTTTCCTGACGCAAGTGCGCCAGGGCCCGATTAGCATAGTATATTGCACTGCTGGGGTAAAGTTCTATGGCTTTGGAATACATGTCAATGGCTTTCGAGAATTCCTTGGCTGCGAAATGACGGAATTGATCATAATAACAAAGTGGACGTTAAGTTTCTGTTAAAGCTTTGACTACAAAATTTGAATAGTAAAAGTTAAGCTAAAATTATAATCATATAGCGCCACTGGCAGTCAATTGCTTTTAAGGTTAGGTCGAAAAAAACGTACTGGCAACACGGGACGCGCTGTGGGTGCAGACAATTTCTTAGTGGATTGCATGTGCATTTCAGACATTAATATTATAAATATGTTGGTGTTCTTTTCATTTTAATTTGACAAATGACAACTTACTTTTGAGCAAATCATTTCCCTTATTTTTGTACTGCTCAGCCGCGGTAAAATCTTGTTGCGCTGCATCCGTCGCTGAATCATGTTTGGGGGCATTTATCTCTGCATTGGAAACTTGTTCTTGCTGATTATCCGAAGATTTCTGTTGGATTTCCTGTTCTGACGACGACATACTTTGTTTTAATTGATCAATTTTTTCTTCCTAGTTGTTCTCTAATATTATTTACTGTCTGCAAATTTTCAAGAGTTGATAAACGCCAAAGTGATTAGTGCTGTGCAACCAGCGAGATGGCGCAACTTATCGATATGTTGACATTTTCAAATATAGATACCTGCGCAGCTCAATCAGATAGTATTTATTTTAATATCATATAAGCATAAATGGAGTTCGTTGCAGCAAATATTATAATACATAATTCAATTTAGAATTTATTGCCTTATACTGCTCTATATGCTCAAGCCCACTAGAGAGCAGGCGCAGGTGCTGCACAACGCCGCATATCTTATTATCGATATGCTTAAGAAGTAACAACAGCTGTTATGAGCTGGGCTTTGTAATCAAGCGGAGAAGGAAAATTAGAAACGGGTTACTGTTAGTATAGAAACTTTGAGGCGAATAGCAGCAACGACGCACACAAGTTGAACCTGAATTAAGTTAACTACAAATAGAATTGTAATTATAATAATTCGCAAACGGTCCATTTGAAATTGCATGTGCGGGGGTGTGTCAGCGTGAGACAGTAAGCAGCAGAAATATAAGCAAACATGTCTATGAGTAATTTATCAGTAGACCGCGAGCTCCGTTATATTATTCAATGGTTTAACGAATGGAGTGAACTGCAACGCGATGATTTCGTCTATGTGTTAATAGAGTATCTCACTAGTGCAGGCGAAGCTGGACGTGCTGGCAGTACCTATGTAAATGGCGTCGTCAATTCCCTGGCCACGTCGAATGTGCAGGAAAAGCCCATGAGTCTTTTTCAATGCCGCGTAACTATATAAAAATCTTGGTTAATCCATTGTCCATTGTTTTGCTAAGTTATTTTTTTAACAGATTAAACTGTTTCGACAATGGAGTCCCAAATGGCCGATCGAGTTCAAATGCAAACTGCAAGAGAAAATCAGTGAGCTGGACCCAAAAGTAGGGGAAAAAATCGTCAATGAACTGAAGACCCCACATTCTATGCACAATGGTGATGTATCTGTGAATTTAAATGTAAATGGGACTAGCGGCAACGGGCACTCTGAATTGGAGCAAACGACAGCAGACCTAGAAATGTTGCCAAGTACAATAGAAACGCAGCCAACAGCAGCCGCAGCAGATGCAGCAAACGATGTCACCGTTCAGACTTTAGAGACAGTTAACGATAACCATTTAGCAGCGGTGTTGCGTCAAGAAACGCCAGTTGATGATGATGATGACGACCAGCTCGCTAGCAATGATAGCAATTCTGATACTAATGGCATGCATGCGTTGTCGGCTGCAGTGACAACAATTGCGGTGAATACATTCCCGTCAGAGCAGTCGCAGCCTCAGCAGCAGCAATCGGAGCCGACTATCGAACCTGTAGAACAGGTAGAGAATAACGTTGCAGCCAGTGTCATTGTCTCTGTAGCTGCTGCGCCAGAGGTAGTCCCGGTGGCATAGATACACGGGTGCTTGTGGCGCTTCTTATAAGAGCAAGCGAGAAAAAAGAAAAGTAAAGGCTTATTCGAGCAGTTAGGCACCACATAAGCATAGCATTGTACGCCATCAGAATCAATACATTCCATATATGCACATTTCTAGAAAGTAACACATTAAACATACATATGTATATTAAGCGAAAGATCAGTTCATGTCATTTCTGCATTTGTGTTTAGATTAAGTTGACTTACTAAATATGTTAGTAATACTTTAAGTACAATATATGATCAAAATATATATTCAAGCATATTTGAGTGCAAACTTTTAAAGGATCTTAACGTCCATGCTCACTGGGCTATTGATATTTACAAGCACTCAGAATGGGTAGCTGGCTAAAAGTTGAAAACATGTTTTCTTTTGTTTGTGTGTGTACGTGTGTATGGGTGTGTGTGTGTGCTTTACTTTTGTGTTGCCGGCATTTTGGCTTACGCACGAGGTGTCAGTGCCACTCGGATTTCGGGCCAGTTATGATCGTGCGCTGCCTTTGCCTTTTCCAGCTCTACTAAAATTTGTTGATACAGATATGTGCGTGTGTGTGTGTGTGTATGTGTATGTTTCTTTGTTTACATGTGTAGTGGTGGCTATTTCATAAGTTCAGCTTTTGGGGCATTCAATTTATTTTGTGCTCCCTCTTTGTTTTGATTCGTTGTTGATAATAAAAAGAAAAAACAAAAAATTAATAAAGAAAAAACAACAGCTGCACTCCGCCGTCGAAATGGAAATAAGATATACTCAGATATTGAACCAATTTATTTCAATTTTATTTTGCACCTCGACGGCAAAAGTTGTGTTCGCGCCTGGCATTCCATGATCAGTTAAGAATAGTCCACAAATTGACGACTGTGCGCGCGTCTGTGTGTGTGTGTGTATATGTACGGGATCAGCAGCCGTTGAACGAAAGTTTAAAATGCATTTGTTGCTCATGAAGCTAATATGCTTTATAGTGATTAGCACATTGTGCTTTCAAAGTGAGTACAAAAACCAACGACTTAAGCAACAAACTGGAGTTGGGCTCTGATTGGAGTCGTGCTATTATTGGAATCTAATAATTAGCTTATGACAAATCGTATGCGAAGGAAAAGAACAGACGTCATCTCTTTGCCCACTTGGCACTGGGTCAAGGTCAATGTCTAGAAATTCCCCAAGCAAATATGCTAGCATCATGCTCTGAGCCAACACGCGAAGGGCAATAAACTACTACAATATAATTACGAAAACGATGCCAAAAGTGACTCAGTAATTGCTGAACCGGACTTTTGTTTGGGCTTAAATGCTTACGCTTTGGCCACTTCTGGCTTGCAGATATTGACCTTGGCTACGTGCTTGGTTTTAGCTATATGTAAATATATATATTTCGAATTTAATTTTTTAATTATTTGCACGTGCGTTCACCCGCGACCGAACGCAATTTCGCAGTCGTGTGCCCCGCTAGTGTCTGCCACTGTATACGGATCAAGGATTGTGTGCCCTTTGCCCGGCTTTTGCTGCATCACAAGCTCGAAGAGCGCGCCTCTGTGTTTTCCATGATTCACTCTGCTGGCTGTGGCTTTCAAGGCCTCGACCCGCTTGCCTGTTGTCCCCATCACCAGGTGGCATCTTCACACACCAGTCGCAGCTTACGATTTGCCCCCACCGAGCGCTGGGTGTGGGGCACTTCAAGCTCTTCAAAGCGCAACCCAAGACTTAACTTCAACTTCGATCGCTTTGTGGCACATGAGACCGAAATGCAATTGCTCGACTATCGAGATTTCGAAGCTCAACGCAATTGTCCCCAACCCATTGAGGATTACGATGATCATACTTTTAAATTTGGAAGCGGACATCACTTTCACTTCCACATTGATCATGACATTGAAACAGCAGAGGACGAATTAGGTCCGCAACCGGCTGATAGACCAATTGTGTTTCCTGGTGACTTGCGTTTCGAGCATACAGCAAGCTTAACAGATCAGGGGGAACTATTGGCTGATGCAAGCCAGGAACAAGTTATGCGGGACAAGATGCCCATGGCCACGCCCACCGTGACCCCAGCGTCAGCAGCGAGGATGAACCCAGCCGATTGTGGGATCAGTGTGAACACTCGACTATTGGGGGGTGACGCGGTTGTTCCAGGACAATTTCCATGGTTCGCCCGGATCGCCTATCGCAATCGCAGTGAGTGTTATTAATTTTAACAAAAAATTTATTAATACAATCCCATTGAAAATTGATTACAAGTGCTTAATTGTGTTTCTTTCAAGATTGACCTTGACACTTGGTTAAATAAACATTAAAGCACAAATCAAACAAAACAGAAAAGATTCTTTATCCCAGCTCGTTAGCTACATTAGTCATTTGCATAGTTAAATAGCAACCAGTAGCAAAGACAAGAGCTGCTTTCAGGAGTGAGAGAGAGTTGTCATTGGGGTCACCTCCGTTCGAATCCTTACCCCTACCGGGAGGTTTCCTTTCCTTTGGTCGAAACGGTTTGCCTCCAGACTCGCCATCACTTTGCTTGCCCTTACCGCAATATGAACAATTGGGATTTGTGTGCTGAGCACTCTTGCAGGGACATCCATTTTTCATTTTGTCAGGGCTGCAAGCATATTAAGACATTAATTGATTAATTTCTCCACTATTATCTCTATTCACAGCCAGCAATCGCATCAGCTATCGTTGCTCGGGCTCCGTTATTTCCAACAATTACGTTGTTACCGCCGCCCATTGTGTTGTTAACTTAGTGAGTGATCTGGAAATGTAAGTCTCAGCTGATGAATCTTGAAATTGCAGCTCCGCCAATTATAGCAAATCAAAATTTGATTGCTTAACTAGGCTTCGATGAAACCTTAATTTATCAGTATTAGATCAAAAAGAACTATGCCAAGAGGCGTCATATATAGTGACAAAGCTGCTAAAACTCGATCTATAGATTTCAGGTGCGCATAGGCGATGACATCTCCAGCCCACAGGATTGTGCTCCTAATACTAAGAACTGTACTAAACCAAATATTTTTAATATTATACGGGTGCTGGTGCATCCCAACTACGACCAGCCGAAATATGCGAACGATATTGCACTGCTCGCCCTCAACAACAGCATAAGTAAGATGACCCCTCTCATGCTCCGGTCGTAGTAATATTTTAATATTGTAATGTTTTTAGGCAAATTCACGCCAATATGTTTACCTTTAAATAGCACGGCAGCGCTTGCAGATAGAATGATTGGGCAAATGGGGGTTGTAGCCGGGTGGAGCACAAAAGCGGAGAGTAAGTTGTTATACTTAAGATAAATAAAACTGAAATGAATCTCATCGGCTAACACAAGTGTGAAATAATATTGTTCGCTTACTCTGTTTTCAGATAGTAGCTCAAACAGTTCCGGCAGCGCAGCCTCAGTGCGATTCATCAGATTGCCCATTGTGAATACGACCAGTTGTGCGATTACCTATGCGACACTTAGCGAGAACTTCCAGCAACCGATTGTGATCACGCCGAACCATCTGTGCGCCCAGGGCCAGCCTATGAAGGATGTTTGTCGCGGCGACAGTGGTGGTCCCTTCATGGACGACGGCACCTCTGGCCTACTCAATGCCAATGGACGTTACACACTGCTCGGAATTGTCGCCTTTGGGCCAACCCTATGCGGCGTGACGACCGTTCCGGGCGTCTACACGGCTGTCAGCTCCTACATGAACTGGATTTTTGATAGCATCAATATGCTAAATACATGAACGGAAGAGTTGCGCGAGACATGACTTTTTCCAAAGTTTTTTCAACGCCAAAGCCAAACACCGTTGTGTATTATTCCTATACAATAATAATAAATAAATAATAGATAAAGAGAAACAAATAAATTGCAAATTTAAGAAAAAGCAGAACAAAACAAAAAGCTCAAGCCAAAGCTCAGCTCAATTCTCTGTTAAGCTCTGCTCAACACTTCGCAGCGTCTCAGTTGTACGCGAAGCCTTGCTCTGGCCTCTCCAATCGTTGCGAGCGGCTGCCGAGTGAAGATCGACGGAGATTCCGTTTTAGTCATCATATTTACTTGATTGCTGAATTTACCCGGATAGGACGTTCAGAAATATAAAAAGTACATTGCAAAGTAACTGACGACGTTTCAACCGAAAAAAACCGTGTTACATAAAGAGGAAAAACATGTTTAAGATATTTACAATCTACTTCATTTTGGGACTTGGTCTGAAATCGGCAAATGCGCGTAAGTAAATAAAAAGGCAGAGACAGCGAAAGGCTTGTGGAATCATTAAAGAAGCCCAAAGAATAATGATCTATACACACAAATATCTGCATGTTTGTTCGTATGTAAATACAAGTATATCGGGAGGGAGGGCCTTCACAACTCTCGTTAGATAAGCTAGTCAGAAACCAGTTTTATTTTTAACTAAACGTAAATACAAATTATTAATTCCAATGCTCAATAAATTTATACAATTTGATTATACAGTTCTGTGACTATTAATATATTTTTGTGATTTGCGCGCAGAGTTTTATTTCCCCAATGAGGCTAACCAAGTGCCCAACTATGGACGCTGCATAACGCCCAACCGGGAGCGCGCACTGTGCATTCATCTGGAGGACTGCAAGTATTTGTATGGAATACTGACAACGACACCTCTGCTGGACGCGGATAAGCTATATCTAAGTCGTAGCCAGTGTGGCTATTTTAACCAGAAGGTTTTGGTACGTCAGGCCTTAAATACCTCAAATACGAAGTAAACAATTGCGATACTTGCAGATCTGCTGTCCGGATCGTTACCGGGACACCACGCCGGTAACTACAGTGCGACCTGCCACAAACAAGACAAGCACAAACCTATTGCCGTTGCCGGGTCAGTGCGGTAATATATTATCGAACCGCATTTATGGCGGCGTGAAAACAAAAATCGACGAATTCCCCTGGATGGCGCTGATCGAGTACACCAAAGGTAGCTAAACCACACATATGAGCCCATCGGCTAAATGCTTCCCTTTCTTCAGGCGGTGGCAACAAGGGTCACCATTGCGGTGGCTCACTCATCAGCACTCGCTACGTGGTAACTGCATCGCATTGTGTCAATGGCAAATCTCTGCCTGCCGATTGGCGTCTAACGGGCGTGCGTTTGGGCGAGTGGGACACTGAAACGAATCCGGATTGTGAAGTTGATGTGCGCGGCATGAAGGATTGTGCCCCTCCGCATTTGGATGTGCCAGTGGAGCGCACCATACCGCATCCATCCTACGATCCCAGCTCCAGGAATCAACTCAATGACATTGCCCTGCTACGCATGGATCGCCAAATCGAGTACACGGACTTCGTGCGTCCCATTTGCCTGCCATTGGACACGAATCTGCGGTCGTCCACATTCGATGGTATTTCAATGGATGTGGCTGGCTGGGGCAAGACGGAAGAGAAGTCGGCCAGCAACCTGAAGCTGAAAGCCGCCGTGGATGGCTTCACTTTGTCGGAGTGCCAGTCCGTCTATACTCGCCAGAACATTGTTCTGGAGAATACGCAAATGTGCGCTGGCGGCATGGAGGGCGTAGACTCGTGTCGCGGTGACTCTGGTGGTCCTCTCATAGGTCTTGACACGAACAAAGTGAACACTTACTACTTTCTGGCTGGCGTAGTCTCATTCGGACCCACACCCTGTGGCTTAAACGGCTGGCCAGGCGTTTACAGTCGAGTCGGAGCTTATGTAGACTGGATACAGTCTACACTGGAGCCTTAAAAATATTCCAATAGTTTTAACTTAGTTGAGATTAAAGATGGCTTAGACCATGTCAAACCATACCCAATTTTTTAAATTAGCAAAAACTATTAAAGCCTTTTGCGAAAACTACGATTTTATGAGTTATTATTATCTAGAGTATAATTTCTCATATATATTTTGGGCAATATTATTTGGGCCTCAGCCTAAGGTTATGCTTCAAAATCTAAATCGAATGCTGGTCAAAAGACCTCATGGTACGTGCCATATATAATGTTTCGTATGCGATTATTAAATTACTTTCTGGGTAGAGTACGTAGAACTGCCTAAAATCCGAATGTATGCTTAAGTTATATTTAATACAGATTAGATTATGCAATAAATTATGTATGTATACAGGTTTAAAGTTTTAACACAAGCAGTTCAACGTATTGTGAACCCAAATATTATACAATTAAGCTTATAAAACGGTTTATAGACTTTCACTGTTATTTTTGTTTTTATAATTTACTATCGGGGATCGGAGCAATATTTTGGATTTTGGTGGCGTGCAAGGTACTATGATAAAATAATAATCATAAGCTAAATTTTTAAAATTCGAATCTAATATTTTCAACATGCACACTGTCCCTTTTCTGCAAATTGTTTATGACCGCAACGATGCTAAGCGACTCTGCATTTCCTCTAACTCTTCACCATCGTCGTCATCATCCTCGACCGCAACACGGGCGGTAGCTGCTGGTGTTTTGTCTGCTGGCGTTGCTTCAGGTGGTAGTGGAGCCTCACCCAGTTTACCGTCCGTGATTTCCCAGAGTACTTTGTCGACCTCCTTTGCTGCCTCCTCCTCCAACTCCTCAGACTCTTCCAGCGAATCCATGGTCTCGTCCAACATCTCCTCGATTATGCCAGCCTTCATCATTTCCTTTGACATATCCCGCATAATGCCCGCCAACTCCGGATATCTAATAAGATTTTGCATGGCCTGCATGACTTCTGTGGATTTCTGTAACGAGCCAGCAACCCGCAAAGTAGCTATATGAGAAATACAAAGATTAGTTAATGGCAGTAACTATAGCCAAAGTCAAATTTACGTACACAATTGATTTTTCATCTGCATCTGTACGGAATTCAGATGCGCCTTAGATGTGTATATACGATTTATTGCTTTTCGCGCGTTCACAATCTCTTTGGCGAGAATGATGCAGGTGTCACGGTCACCTTTTTGGGCTGCCTGTTTGAGAGACCGCTTCACTTTTTCCTCTTCACGCTGTATACTTCGTATCTGCCTATCAAGCTGATTACCCTCCTTTCGTATCTTGTGCGTCCATTCTTGCACCTACAGATACCGAGAAACAGATGTTGCAAATGAGAATCAAAACAATTGGAACATGACATCATTTCATGGCAGCCAAATGGCCTTGTTAATGCGCAAAAGTAAAATGGACCACTGGTGCAAGATATCCAACCTGTTCTTTGGGGTCTTTGCTGGGAGTTTTGCCAAATAATCCCATTTCGCTCTTCTTATAATGGTATGCTAATTATTATGATATTGTTTAAACTATTCGACTTAACACTGTCCGTGAGTCATTTTTTTGTCATAAGTCTGGCAGCACTTTTGCAATGTTTATATTTCATTTTAAACAGTCTGGCAAGGCCTACGTAAATTGTGTATGCAGTTTCTTTAGATAATATTTATATTGATAAAAAATTTTAATATGATATTGTTGTTTTATTAATAAGCTCTAAATGATCTTATATTAATTATAAAATTATTATCCACAATACGATACTGAACACGAGCAATTGCTTGCCGTTAACTAGTTCGCAACCGCATAACGGGTAGCAAAATTAATTGCCTTGCTCATTGATCAGCATACTGTCCTACAGCAAAGCTGGCACTTTATAACACTAAAGCAGCAACCGCGCAATTGTGATCATGTTTACCGCTTGTCAATTTAGTTAAACTCTTACTTAATTTGGTTATATCGATATTAAAAAGAACACAATGCAATCAAATGCAATAGTTAGTTGTATATTACTGTTGTTCCATAACGTGTGCTGTTACCAGGATAACTGGGTTGAGCCACATGCGTGGGCGGAACTGACAACCACGCAATTCAGTAATCCAGGTGAAGATGCCTGCCAATGCCAGGCCGTGTCGCCTGAAGGGAAATCACTCGCAACAATAGAGGATCAATTAGCATTAATGTATTTTAAAAAGTTTGTTAACACTTTGTTTAGTCGAAAGGTGCTAATGGTAAGTAGGCGGACATATCATGTCAAATTTTAACTAATGACGTCATGAAATTGTAATCATTTTCAGCACGGCAAAACGTCAAACGTTTTCAAACGATCGGTACTGTTTACATTACAAGCTTCAGAAGTTGATGAACTTGAAACGGTTCAAGATGTGCGTGATCTTGATATTTTACTTACCAAAATACTTAATAAGGCAAACGATGTTCCTTTGTCATCGGATCAGGCCGACGACGAATTTTTGTACACACACAAGGAAATGGGAGTGCTCGCGCTTATTATGGATATTTTCAAGGATCTTCTAAAGCTACTGCAAATATCCGAGGTTAGAATTGCTGCTATTAAAGGCTTATAAGCACACACAGATTAACAAAAACTGATTGACAGGTGCGATTCATGCTAACGGTACTGCTCATCATTGCTACCGGGTGGATTGTGCATAGACGATTCCGATTTTCTGCAATAGCCATAATTATAGGCGGGGTGTTCCTGTATGGCTACTTCGTTACCTATTTAGAATGCAATAGGGTATGTCGTACAAAATCAATCAATCACATTGTATTATATATATTTTTAATTGTTTTGATTTAGAAACTGGAGGTTGATGCTGTGATTGAAGTAATTGACAGTCATCAAAAGTCCACGGATAATGCTGATACAAACTGGTTTTCTCGCATATTTGGCTCTTTATTTAAAGACTCTAAAGAAGATCAACAAAGACAGAAAATTTTGTTAGTACTATTCATTAACTGATTAATTAGACATGTTCGTCAATCTTTGTTATGTACATTACAGAAAGTCAAGCAAATTACGTATGCCTTACTGTCGACCAGACCATGTGTTCATTATGTACACAAGTGAAATGTTTCTCAAACAAATTGAAACGATCTTGGAAAAAACAACTCATACAATTACGAGCTTAAATTGTAAGTCTCTAAACCTTAACAGACTTAACAATATTTTTAATGCTTGTATGCTTTACCCGCAGCTGAATTATATTTTCCATATAACTTAATAGCACCATTCGCACTAGTCTGTATGATTGGCTACATTCTAAAGTTAATCTTTAAATACGTCATAAGTCCGAAGGTGTGGGTCGGCCTTTTTTATGGTAAATCCGCTACAACTTCTGCAACAACGCAAGATCAAGCCATTGCCAATGAAACGGTTGGAGATCGTTTATCGGGTGAAAACCTTAAGATGTTACTTAATGTCATTGGCTCTACAAACATATCACAATCCCAACAACAACTACAACTGCCAGTATCAGGGGTCCAAGAGTTACTGGAACCATTGGAAGCACCCCCACCAGAAACGTCTCAAAAACAACAAACTGAAAAAAAACATAATTTGGAGCCGCCTTCGAAAGATAATTCTAATATTAGCAGTACCTCTGAGGATATAGCTCATGAAGCTGGCTTCACCGTTGTAGATGATAACGCAGATGTGGATTATATTAATACTTTGTAGCTAATTTTAACTTTTTTTGAACTGCTGTATTAAGTGTAATGTTTGTGGTTATCATTTTTCTCTTACCAGTTAATATCACCATTTAACAGAATTCTGTTACCAAAAGATATTTTTCATAGTTAAATTATTTTAATTTAATTTATTATGCGTGTTATTATTTAATTTTTTTTTGCACGCTAATTAGTTTAATCTTTAAGATTAAGATTTCATTCAGTGCCATTAGTAGGCATCCTATAATAATCATGTTTATATTATGGTCCTGGTTATTGGGTTTGTTTGCTGCATTTCTGAAATGTAAGCAATCAAATTTTCATCATGAGTAAACTAGCTCAATATACAGCTTTTACGTTGTGTGTATAATTATTATATGTATATTCATAAAAAAATTATAGTTAATTTGATGTAAATATATTCATTCATTGTTTTTTACGTTTAATGAACATTCCCCTGATATGCAAATACATCCAACCACACAAACTAACTTAGATTGGCATTAGAATTATATATAAAATACACCTATGTATACATTGTTTACAGAATAATTAAAATTATATATTTATTTTAAATACTACGCCAACTGTTATTCTAATTAAATACCACAATTCTGGTCTGCAGTGATCGATATGTAATCGATACTCAAGCACTTCAGGAACAACTTCACTTACTCATTGTCCAGAAATAATTATGAAAACGTGGTTTGACTTAAAGCAAAGCAATGATATCCTATGCAACAGTGAGTTGCATATTGCTGTTGCTCCATAATGTGTGCTGTTACCAGGATAACTTCATTGAACCACATGCGTGGGCGAAAGTGGCACCAACGAAATTAACAAATACTCCTGAAGGCTTCAACCAGGGCTTGCTATCTGAAGAGAAGTCCTTGGGAACAAGAGATGATCAACTGGCATTCATATATTTTAAAAAATTTCTTTATGAATTATTCAGTGTGTCACCAACAAATGACAAATCATAGCTATGTCATTCGTTCTTATCATTTTTAGTACGGCAGAACAACAAGAAATTCTAAGCGTGCGCTTTTGTTCTCCGTGCATGATTCAGAGCTCGGTGAGATTGCCTCTGTCCAAGATGTACGTGATCTTGATATTTTAGTTACAAAAATACTTGACAAGGCTGTCGATTTTCCATTGTCGCCGGTGCAAGCGGACGACCTCTACTTGTATCAGCCCCAAAGTGTGCGTGCTCTCATTATGAATATAGCCAAGGATCCTTTACAGCTACTGGAAATAGCCGAGGTTAAAGCTGCTGCTATTATTTCATTTATTTGCAGCTTCGATTAATTAAAAATCGTCTTGTCAGGTTTTATTCGTACTGAAAGTGCTGCTGATAACTGCTGCCGGGTGGTTCGTACACAAACGATTCGGATTTTCTAAAAGAAGCATAATTATTGTCGGCACTCTCGTGTATTGCTACTGTGTCACTTATTTTGAGTGCAATAGGGTATGTGCTCATAATAGTCAGGGATCCCAGAGAATTTGTCACATTCCTTATTGTTTTTTAAAGAAACTTAAGGTTGACTATCTGCTTGAAGTATTCGACAGCATTCAAATGGAAATGGATTATGCCAATAGCAATTGGTTTACCAAAATGTTTATGTCTTCGAGAGAAATGCAACAAAGAGAAAGTATTAAGTAAGTAATACTTATTACATATTGCATATAGAGAAGCCACAAATATCATAAATATTTCATTCGTGCACATTGCAGAATGTCTAACAAACTTCGTTGGCAGAATTGTCAAGTGAAATGCTGCTCAAACCCGTCGAAGTCTTCTTGAAATCAATTAGTCACACTCTTGCGAACTTATTCAGTAAGTAGCTACATAAATCATTCCCTTGAAAATATTTTAAATTTTCATATGTTTTGCCTTCAGCTGAATTAACATTTCCATGTAACTTGATTGCTCCAATCGCACTAATCCTCGTGATCGCGTTCAGCTTTAAGCTGTTCTACGGATATATCGTAAGAAGATATGTGGTTGGCACTTGTAAATGGCAAATCTGTGGAAAGGCAACAGTAATCCCGTTTAAACGAAATTGTTAAAATTCAAGCGATAAAAGTTAAAAGTTTCATATTGGTAAATTTTTTTGCATTTTTGCATTGAGTGTGATTTTTCTTTTACCAATTAATTGTTTATGTTTTCATAGTTAAATTATTTCTTTATTCAAATTATTCTGCATGTAATTATTTCATGTTTGCACGATAATTATTATAAGTTAAATCTCCAACAATAAGATTTCATTGGGTGACATTAATAGGTCTCCCAACAATGTCTATTACATGTTTATATTATGCTAACGGCCAAATTGTTCATATGTATATACCAATACTGCCAATTGCTGAATTTTTGTTCATATTTACAACATCTTATTAGCATTGAGTGCGTGTGTGTGTGTGGGGGTGTGTGGGTGTGTGTAGGTGTCTGCTGCATATTGAAAATGTAAGCAATAATCAAATATTCATCATGAATAAACTAGTTAAATATACAACTTATTGTTGTGTGTATAATAATTATATATATATAATGTATATATATTCATAAAAAATTATAATTAATTCGGTGTAAATATATTCATTCGTTGTATTTTAAATTATACTTCGGAATTACATTTACATGCATATCGTTGCTGAATTACATTTAAATAACATTCGCTTAATCTTATTATGCAACAAAGTGTCCATTTTATGATTTGTATTTTTTTATTTACTTATTACAGTGTATTCGACTACTCGGCACGCCCCTTTAAGCCAGAACCAGTTTCGCTGTCCAGAGTCCAACAAACCTAACTAAACCTAGGGAAACTAAGCGGAAAACTTAGAGCACGCAGGATAATGCTAATCGTACATAAGATTCAACGAAGTCTGTCATTAGAATTATATATAATATATATATACTTATGCATGCACTGTTTACCGAGGCGAACTGAGAGAATTTATCTAATTGATTTCTGAAATCTTATACGCAAATTGGTCCGCTATCAAAATCTTGGTTAATAATTTCACTAGACAAATTCAACAATATAGTAAACAAGTATGTACTATGTTATATTTTGTATATATGCTTGTGTCGATGATCGGTTCTTGAACAACTCTTCTCCCCACTATGCACCTAAATCATATCCAAACAACGAGAGCGTGTGGCACTTGTACTGTGTTGTGCATAAGAAATGGGCTAAGTCATAATTAATATAATTACTCGTTCTCTCCTAATTTGGCGAAACATCAATTAAAATCAATTATTTTTCATTAGCTGAATGGACTATAAGTAATTTAAGTTAAAAAAAACTAATGCCTTCTCTCTTGTAATATCAATCAACAGTAAAACGACTCGAAACTATTTCATTTAACCTTTAACCTGCTAATAGACTTTAAATCCTACGCATAAGCCAACCCAACTATTTTAATAATTAAGCAAATACCACAATTTGTAAACTGTGCTCGTTTTTAGAAAACAGGCAACTCATATACCTTCGCAACATATGCTTCGATGTAAACGCGGATAGTGATCCTCATTTAGCACTAACTCTACAATTTCTGAATGAGCGGCAAAAATTGTGCTTATTGCCTGGCATGACGATCCCTGATCGGATCGTACCGTCATGCAGGGCCTAATCGTTGACTAAATCTAATTTGTGTTTGCATTGTTAATAAACTTCAGCAAATAATTGTAAATGAATACATATTTCATCCATACGTCTGTCCTTAAACAATGTCCCTAAAGTCTATAAGTACCATAAGTGAAAAGAATTAAAACGAAACTAACGCACGATCCGTATGCATACTTCCTCGGGACCATCAAGTGGGTTTAAGTGAATAGAGTGTGAGTATTATTTATACATTATAAGTGATGTTAGTGGTAATTATTCCATTTGTTAAATATTTCTTTTTTCGTTTGTTTTTGTTTTTGTTTTGGTGGTAAATAGTTATACAGCAATTGATTGATAGTCAAATAAGCGCCTTTGCAGCAAACGAATGGGATCCATATCGATTCGGTTGCCACAAATGCTCCAGAATTGTCGCTAGTTTGTTGTCTTCTGTTCTTCGTGATCTGTTGTGAAATGGATTTGTTGTGAGTACACCTTCTAATCGGTTTACCGGCTCTGATAGTAAGTAGATAAAAATTTTAAGTAGGTACTTTGGCTTTTCTCTTGGGTTACACATATGTATGCATATATGTGCATCTCTATATATATATATATATATTCGTATAGTACATATTATAGCATTATGATATCTGTATAATGTACACATCTATTGTGTGTGTGCGAGTATGTCATGTTCTGTTATGTAGTATGTTTATGTATTTGATATGTATGCCGTTGCGTTTCAGATGCAGTTTTCCGAATCCAAAAGAAATTACTTCGATCTGTGTGTCTGTGTGTGTGTGTGCTGTGCGGGTGGGTGTGGGGGCGGTACATTGATTGCCTTCTACATTCTGCTAGACTAGAGAAGGTGTTGCGTGTTGATAAAATCTATGTACGCAAAATATACTCGTAATGCTGTCTTATAGTTTTCATTTTTCGCTTTCTTCAATCCATCTATAATTAATAATATATTTCTCATCTATGCAGGCTATTCTCTGATAACATCAGTCCCAATGTGTGGTATTTATATGTATATATCTATGTATAGTATATATGTATATGCATATGTTTAATCATGTGTGTGTGTGTGTGTGTGAGTGTGTGTGAGGGGTGAGTTCTCAAGTCCTGCCAATGTCCCAATGCGAGTATTTGTCTGTCACTAATTTTGCTTGCCAAACTGGTTACATAACGCCGCACTTCTCCTTGACTCCGGCGCCACTGGCACTGGCACTGGCACTGGCACTGGCCTCCCCGTTCTCTGGTATGGCTCCATTGGTCTCCTTGCATTTCTTTTCCTTTTTCTGTTTCTTTTGCTTTTTTGTGTCCAGCTGCAGCGAAACGGTACGCGTCTTCTCCATGTTGAGCAGCTCCTGGAACAGCTCGGTCACATTGTGATTGATTTTGGCCGATGTCTCCATGAACGATATGCTCCAAGTGGTCGCCTGCGCCTGCCCCTCTATTTGCGACACTTCGCGCAGCTCAGTGCTCTCATCGCACTTATTGCCTACCAGCATGACCGGTATGGAGTTCACATCGCCCTGTAAATCAACCAATTTATACTCCCACTTCAATTATGCTCCAGACTAAACTATCCCTGCTTACCTTCAGCTCCTTAATTAGCTCCCAGATGGGCCGCAACTCCTCCAGGCTCTGTTTGGAGCACACGGAGTAGACCAAAATGAATGCATGGCCCTTGGAAATGGACAATCGCTGCATAGCCGGAAACTGATGTGATCCTGTCGTGTCCGTGATTTGTAGTGTGCAAATATTCTTATTGCAGCTGATGACCTGCAACAGCAAAGAGTCCAAATTAAGTTTAGAGACAGGGTTAATATCGTGGCTGCAGCGATACCCACCTGCCTGTAGGTGTCCTCTATGGTGGGTATATAGCTCTCGCGAAAGGTGCCCTTGATGAAACGCAGCACCAGGGAACTCTTGCCAACGCCACCAGCACCGAAGACCACGACACGGTAGTCGTTGCTCTGCTCCGGCGCTGCGCGTGTCACCTGATTCTTTTGCTCTGTCATCCTGACAGTGTTGCGGGAGGCGCTATACGGTTGTTTAGTAGTTGTCAAGAGTGGAGGCTTGCTGATTTGCTAGGTTTGTCGACCACTACGTCTGTGCTTTACTTGAGCGCCATACTCTGGTTCATCTGCAACGATTAAGAGCAGCAAATCAATTGGTCACATTACGCCCACACACACAGCACGCTCGGGTTACGCCTCCATTTATTGGCTGCCCTTTGCCATATTAAAATTATGTATAGAATAAATGCGTGAGACTGCGGCTAATTTTATCCATGTGCCATTCGCGTTTATGTTAAGGTAGGCTATTGATTTTTTCCCTCTCGGTGTAAATACTATTTGTTAAAATTAACGAAAGCACAGATCTGTGCGTCGTTAACCTTTTGCCAACTATTGCCAACGTCATTCGCAATATCATCATCATCGTTATTGTTATTATGATTACATACTATTATTTCTGCGTGGGCGACTTGGGCATGAGAGGAGCGGCTGATATTGTGATTGTGATTGTGATTGGGCTCAGGTATCAGGTCGGCCGCATTATGGGCAGCTTGGCAGTCATGCACACACACACACACACAGATATACGCCTACACACATTTAGTATAGTGTATAAATAGAAGCTTTGAAGTGCAGGCGATTACAACAACATCAGAAATAACAAAAACAGTCAAATGCGTGGGTGAGCAAAATAATCGCTTACAGAGCCTTCCTGTGCATATACACACACACACACACACACATACATAGACACGCGCGTGGACGCTCGACTCTGTCAGTTTGCGTGGGTGTATGTATGTATGTATTTTTGTTATTTGCTCTGGTGACCACAAACTTTAAATTGTTCACTTCCGCACACACTGTGTCCTGTGTTGCCACCTTAATTTCCAACGCATTCGTTGTTGTACTCTCACTGTTTTGCTCTTTTGTTTTCTTTCTCACGCCCTCACATACACACACAAGCACACATACACACAAGGCACGCACAAATATTTTGTTAGCCGTTGATTTTTAGTTATTTTATTTTGGCTTGGATTTATTGATTTTATGTGTGTTGCATTTTCACCTTTAACACACGCACACGGTCACGCACACACCCATACATACACACACATATATATATATATATCAAACAAATATTTAAAAAAGAAAACACAGATAAATGTCGCCTGCCTCTTGCTTGCTTGCGTGTCTATCAGCAAGGATAACTTTAATAAAATGCGTATTATTTACATTCAGTTCTTGCATTGCGTTGCACTTGAATTCGTTGCTAAAATGTCGCGCGACTTTGCCTGCTGCTGCTGTTGCAGCCGCACTCAGAAATCGGAAATACACTGACTCTTCGCGCATTCGCAAGGCATAGCCACACAGACACACAGTCGCAGCCGAAGCCGATGATGAATGGACAGCCAGACAGACAGACAGGAGGGTACCCACATTTGAGTGTACGGTGTACGATAAGAGTCACAGTGCCGCCCATTATCCACCACATGAATTTTCACTTGGAATCGCATGCGCTATTCCAATAATGTCCACTGAGCATAACGGACAACGGTTTGGGCACAAAATAAAAGCTTTAGTCGAGACAACAACCCCGCTAGTTCATCTAAGCTTTCAAACGGAAAACCTATTTTGCACACGGCTCGAACATGTTCGGCCCAGCCGGCCGGCCGGCCTGTTGGCGTGTGCAAAACTGGAATTAAAGCGCCCGAACGCCGTGTGGAAAGCCTCGTTTCGAAAGTGTATAAAATCGGGTAGCATCCGTGGATTGTGCATCAGTTGTGTTCTGCAGCAAAAGTGAAAGTGACTCATCACTTAAGTGAAACCTAAATTTTCTTGTGCTTTCAAGTGAAAAACTTAAATAAAAAACAAAATGCCTTGCCCATGCGGAAGCGGTAAGTCTACTGAAGGACATCAAATAAATACAAACAAATATCGTTCAATTGCTTAACTTAATAATGGGCATTGCTTATTAATTTTCAGGTTGCAAATGCGCCTCTCAGACCAACAAGGGTTCCTGCAACTGCGGCAACGACTGCAAATGCGGCGGCGACAACAAGAGCAAGTGCGGCTGCTCCTCCAAGTGAACGCGTCAGCAGACCCTATAGTTTTTATAATAAATTATAATTAGAATCGATCTATTGCTGGTTGTTCTTGCAAAGGCAACATACATATACACACATATATATATGCATACAATTTTTATTTCTCAGCGCTCAGCGCTCTGCGCCACAAATTAAATAATGTGCAATAAACTAAATTGAAATTAAAGTTTAACTGCGTCGTTTCCACTAAATGCCAATTCTTGTGTAATCATTCAATTGTTTTTCTAGAAGGGTCTAGTTTTTCTTTTTTATCCATATGTATTGCGCCACTTAGTGGGAAATTTGAGACTTGGCTGCTGGCGTTGCACTTGTGAAGAATAAATGTAATTTATACTTATGCATATATGTATATATTATAACAGGTGCGAAATAAAATAAATGCGAAAAAGAAAAACATATTTTAGCCATTTATATTTAAGGTTTAAATGAATATTTCATGAGAAATTCAGTGTCTGTTGCTTGATTCTTTTCTCTGTTTTATTTGCCTTTAAGATTCTACTTCATATTATTTAACGGGGCTTCAACGCAGATATATCATAGCTGAAAATAAATGAGTTCATTTACGACCTGTACTTAGGCAGTCTTAACTTAAGCCAACTCCATTCAGCTTCAGGTTTTGCTCGTCATAAAACTTTCCGTGTTCAGAGCCAACATCCAATTAAGTGTTTGTATGCGAATGCAAACTTTAAGCTTGTCTTGTTAATCGAGACATTTAAACATGTGCACATATTCAGTTTTATGCACAATCTTTTTTTTTGAGTTCATGCGAGTATTGTTTATACAATACATTGAGTAGCCACGGTACCCAAGGTAAGAATGAAACCTTCGCTGATTCTATTTAAGCAATAGTATCTTTGTTTGTGTGTGGCCCAGGCCAAGAGGTAACCAGACACCATTTAACCTTTTCGAAAAAACAAAACTTTCGACATCAACTTTGGCTCAGCCACTCACTGCCAATTGCTGAGACGTAGTTTGGTCATAAAAAAGAGAGAAAAAAAAACAAAGGAAAGAAAAAACTCAAAGTGGGAAGCGTTGATAAATCAGTTTTATTATCTAAGACTAAGAGTACAGTTTAAGTAGGTCTCACTGTTTGAGCAACCACATCTATACACATAACAGTTATCAGTTCCAGAATAACAACGATTTCAAAATCAAGTAAATAAAATTACTCATATCTACAGAGAGGTGTGAGCAAATGGACTCGTTTACACGGTGAAGCGTTGAGGCATTTGAATAGAAAAACTTGCTTTGTAAGTCTTAACGTTTTATTAAAATAATTTATATAAAAAACAATTTGCAAATGTTTGAATTCAATAAAAAATAACAATTAAAGCGAACTACTGATTTCACGCTATAAAAAAGCTTGAACAACTGCAATAAGTGATCGTGTAAACGAGGTTTCTAAATGATTACACGTATATATGTGTGTATGTCTGTATGTACATAGGTGCAGATGAATGTGCATGTGTGTATGTGCGTGTGTGTACGTTAACTGAACTGAAACTACTTGATAACAATATTCTGTGTTAAGCGCTTCACAAAGTCCACGTTCAGGAAATTGGCCATCAGTGTGAGCACAGACTTCTTGGGTGGACGACAGTGCCGCAAGCCCGCCTCCTGGCAGCACACGTTGGGGAAGCAGTCTAGCGTGGAGGTGCAAGCTTTTGGATGCAGATCAAAAATGGTCGGCGGCGGTGCCGTGCACTCCAAGTACTCCGTAACTGCGCATAAGGAGAACTGTTCATGTTACTGTTATCAACTAAATATGTGCAGAGTGACCTACGGTAATCAAACGAACGCTTTACTGGCACCGGCACCGTCTCCAATTCCGGCTGGGATGTGCGGCAGTAGCGCCGGCGACCATCGGGGCAGCAAACACGCGGCCAGCAGTCCATGTCAGTGAGACACTCCTGCACATCCCACCACAGCTCAGCCAACGGGCGCGTCGGACACTTGCGTGGTATCAGGCCCAATATGGCTACAGCAGGAAATCAGTTAACAGCAAACAAGATGGCTTCTTGTGCGCAGTGAACTTACGTGCGTGCTCCGTCTCCTCGAGTGGCTTGGCAATGCCCGCGACGCAACTGCTGGAGCCAAAGATGTCGCAACAGATCTCATCCCGTTGCCAGACCAAACAGTCCTTATCGGACTTGCAGATTTTCGGAAACAGCTGGAAGCGTACCTCGTTCTCACGCGGACAATTGAAACGCTGTCGCAGATCAGCGGCAGCTCGTTTATCCTTCTCCTTATCGCTAGCGCCAGCCGCGGTGCTAGGGAAATTAAGCGTTGGCAACGCTAAGCGGAATGGTCCCTCAGTGGTGCTTGTTGCCATTGTGGTATTAGCCTTGCGCCTTGGTTTTGGTGTGGTCTTTTGTTGCCGGCGGTACGTGGACTTCTCCTCCTTGGAGCCAGTTGCTGTGGAGTGCGTAAACTTCTTGGGTGGGTGGGGCTGTTTTGTGGGCGAACTCACTGGCACAAGGCTCTGCTGACCAAAGCTCCAGAAACTGGGATGGAAGAAATTGAATCCATTCGCCAACACTGGACGGGGCGCTAAGCGTGCGATAATTGGATTAGTCAACAATGGACATTACTAGTTCTGCTCCAAATAACAAGCATTGCAAGACAACCAAAGCGCAGTTCCCGTCACTCAGTTAACCCAGTCATAAAACAAGTGCTTTTGTTAATGCTATTGAAAGTGAATCTTTGTACGCCTGCAGGCAACATATTGCCGTTGGCGCTGGAGCGCAAAGCAATCCACAGTCAGCAGTCCACAGTCCACACCCCTCACCTGCCCTGCCCCACACTATGCTCTGCTACCAATTACAAATGCCCATTCACTGTGTGAATGTTTCTTACTGGCCTAGTTTTTCAAAGACTAATGATTATCACATGGTATTCAGCGGAGGATCTAAACATTATAGTTAACTAAACAATAAGAATATCATTTTGTGAATATTTGGCATAGGTGAAGGTGTGATTAAGGGTAATTACCATTACTTAGACTTAATGTGACCCGTTTAGCTTTAAGAACGTTAATTTGAAAATTTGTTGTGGTATTTAGTTTTATGATAATTCTAAAAGTTTTTACTTGTTTAAATTACAAATCGTGTCAGCCATTACTAATAGCTGAAATAAATCAAACAACGTCCACACAATGGTATTAAAAATAGCAACATTTTGGGCACACAATATGTAAATATTTATCATATAAAATGTTAATAAAAACATAAAAGCAGCGATCTTTCTGTCTCTCTCTGTTTTTTTTAAAGTGAATCAATTAACATAAGTTTACTGGTACGTATATATTGCTACGCCACAAATAGCACATCAAGAAATATGGTTTAACGACTCTGGGAGCGAAAAAACGCGTTTTAATTGCAATTGAAATTGCAACAGTTTTGAATTAAGATGCTACACAATAGACTATAGAGAAAAATCGAGTGACCCAATTTAGTCATTTAGCTCCATAAGTGTCATCTCTAAACTTCAATGACGAATGAAATACAAAAAAAACACCAAAAATGCGTTCATCATAAAACGCGCTAATTAAGGCACAAGTTCAAGGCTCACATATTCAAATTTGCGCGGTTTTTGTCATACAGATATTAGATGGAAATAATCAATATCCTTGATAAAGTTTCATCCAACAACCATGGCAAAATGCATAGCAAAGCTGTTAAGCCTTGAATGAGTACACAGCATTACAATCGCTTACGTCTCGTCCCGCTCATCAAGGTCGTTCGCGACTACTAAAAAGACAATATGAATTTGAAAGCTGTGTTGCAGCGGCTGCTCCAGTTATCAGTCGCATAATTATCGAATATGGTGGTTTTCTTTTCGTATTCAGACAACTTCTCAGACGGTCTGCTGCTGTTAGTTGTCGTTACCAATCTTAAAAACTGAAAGCTAGGTCAGTGCCAGCGTCAAGACTTGCTTGCCTTTGCAGCGGTCATATGGACATATGCTAAAGTCCATTTAATGCAGGTCCGGTCTATGCTTAACTCACTTGTTGAAGTTGTCGTCGTCGTCGTTGTTGTTGTTGTTGTTGATGTGGTAGTTGGTCTGCGCCGCATAACCACCTGGGTGCGCCTGCGCATGGACTGTGATCTGGCCGTGGTATCTCTGCTGTCCGGCGCCGTCTCTGTGGCATAGAGCGGCAGCTTATATTGTGCAACAGTACGAGATTTGTGGCCGCGGGAACCACTAACACGACTACTGTTTTCGTTAAATGCCTCCGATTGAGCTCTTGTCTCTGTTGCATTTTTGCGAAGCCTCGTCGTTGACGCTGTTGCATCATTCATCGTGGACACACAGCAAAAGCTGCTCAGAAGTGGTAGGAAAAGCAACAAAAACACAGAAAATTCCATATCTCATTTAATTAAATCGTAACCAGGTCAACAAGTTTAAATCGCATCTATTTCTGATTTTTATTGACTATTTCTTTTATTTTTTTCTCTCAATTATCAAACTTCGCGTACATGGCATTTACTAGGTATTATTCACTCTCAAAAACTTATACTTTGGATTGAATATGCACTCGCGACACGTTGTTGTGAGTTCAAACGGCCGAAACCAACTCAGCGGGCAAATGTGCAAAATTTTAAGTTTCAGCAGATAGACAAAAACCAAAGCGGCAGCAGCAGCAGCAAAACAGCTGAGGCCCGAGCTGCGTAGGCAGCTAAGAGAGCGTCAATTCGCTCTTTTAGCCAGTGAGCCACTGAATAAACTGGTTTCTGTTGCTTGTTTTCCCAGGTGTTGATGCTACTCAACATAAGCGCAGTTCAAATGCAGCCCACTGGACACCACTAACCCAATATTATAGAAATGAGGAAGTAACTGAATAATGGTGACATTGCGCTCGTTTAGTTGCTTCCGGCATTTCCAGTGGACATACAATAAGGATGTAAAGGTAAACAAGAAGACAACATTTACATGACTTGTTATGTATTTAATCAAAGGGAGATTTAAACAAAGAACCTTCTCAGAAGGTAACAACTGCTAGGTCAGGAATTTATGGAATTACATGCTGCGGCGTTGAACGCTGAGTTTGCAAACTCGGTTGCATCTGTGGATGCTGCTTTGAGATTAAGCTTTCATGTGGTAACGATACTTCTGCATGTTCCTGGCTTGTTGAATTCAGATGTGACTGCCTTCGGTTTCATTTAAATCTCCAAATGATTATTTTGTTGTTGCTTTCTTGTTGTTGTTGCCAGCATATTAATAGATGCAGTCCCTCGAGAGCGACTACTAAAATTAATATGCTTAAAAAAATTGACGTCGCAAACGCCAAAAAATTGAAGTGGATATTTAATCCAGCTGAAAAATGAATAGAATAAGAATAAGCATATGGAGAAAGAGTTCAAATATTTCCATTTCCAGCTTACCTTCTTGAAGCCAATATCATTGGCGTATTCCCTGAAGCACTGACGGCAAATGTTCAGACCGTATTTGCGGATCAGACCATGTCGGTTTGAGCAGGCACGGCTATAATGTTAAATATATTCATACATACTTTACATTAATTATTTGTTTTGGTTACGAATACGCAGTAACTACTGTTAAACAATCGGATTCAGTTGCATAGCTGTCGCTGTAGCTGGCTGGGCCATTCAATATCAAATGACAAGAACCAGCTGCAACATTTGCTTTGGCCACCCTTTATTAAGGAAATTGTTAAAGAACTATTCACACATTTCCGTACTCAACCGGGGGCAAAATGATATTTAAGCAAATAACTTCAATACATATGTATAACTCAAGCAAATACATAAATATGTACGAGCGGTATGCGCCATGCGAGGCTAGGGCGTGCTTAACCTCAAAATATCAAAGCAAATCAACTATGCAACAAAATACGGCTTTAAACAATAGACATACATGCGAATTATACAGCTCTGGATACACAATTTTATAGGCTACATAAAACTTACCAGCAACGGGAGCCTTGGCCGTATTTACGGGGATGCGAGTACCAGAGAGTAGCGAAACCCATGTTGGCGTATACGATGGAAAAATCGAAAAGAAAGAGGACGGCAAAAATGGCTACTAGACACTTGAAATGTCAACTGCGCACGTTGCCACCTACTCCAATACTTCGTTGCGTTGTTCAACACTGTCAGATAATATAATATTGCCACATGTAAAAAAAATTATCACGCAAAATTTAAGTTATATCGGCTCCAAATTAAATTCAAATTTAAAACCTGTTACAAGTTGCCACCAAATAATTGAGCTCTAAAATGCGAGTCTTATGAAAATCAAAATGCAAATTTGCTTTATTTTTACTGGTACACTATACAATATTTATTACATATAGTTAGAAATAAAACGGTTGCGAAGTATTATTTTCTACCACAACCACTTTGACATTTTCATTGTTTTCTAACTGGAAGGGTTGTTGCTCGATTGCTTCTGTTCCCTCTAGGTCTACGAATGACATAAGCTCTTGCTCGTCACTAAGAGGCATTGGAATATTTTGTACAAACTCAGAGCTTTCGCCAAAATCGCTAGGATCCAATTCAACCATATCAAATTGTTGCTCATGCGCCATGGGAGATGTCGGCGAATGCATAGATGCCTCTGCCGTCGAATCAACCACAAATTCAATTCCGCCCTCTTGCATTTGCTTAGCCTTTAATGCAGCCGCCGTTTCCAATTCGAACTTTTGCATTTGCATCATCAGGCGTGCATTTGCATCCAAGTGCGAGTGACGCGCCCGCACATGCTTATCCCGATCGCCACGCTGCCGGAATGTCTTTGTGCAGAATGGACAATCATAGGGCTTCTCGCCTGTGTGAATACGCTGATGATTCTTTAATGCATCAGCGCGATAAAAACGCTTGCCGCACTCATCGCACTCGTAACGCCGCTCGCCCCGATGTATGAGTCGATGTTGGTAGAAGACCGAGCCGGTGAGAAAGCGCTTGCCACAGACCAGGCAGTGATACGGCCGCTCACCCGTGTGGCATTTTCGTATGTGATCATTGAGATCTGGGCGTATGGTGAACTTGCGGCCACAGTTCTCCTCCTGGCAAACGAAGGGCTTCACACCTGGCGAGTAATTCAACATCATAAGCTACATACAGGCCGGTTGCATTTGCATTGCCACTTACCTTGGTGGAAACGTAGATGCTGCCACAAATGACTAGACTGCGTGTAGGACTTGCCACAAATGTCGCAAAGATATTGCCGCAAACGGCCCATGGTGGTTGCGTTCCCGCTGTTGCGCAGCTCCTTCTCACGTTTTTTCTTATTCAGGTGCTTCTCCTCGTAGTGGGGTTGTATCTCGTGAGCATACTCAAAGTTTGTGGCGCAGAACTCACACGGCAACATGAGGCGCTTGCCACTCTCGCTGAGCCGAGGAAAGTAGTGATAGCAGCTATAGCTGCACGGAAGGCAGAAGGTGCAGATGCAAATGTAGCTCAGACTCTAAACACACTTACCGATGCTCCTGGAGGAGCTCCACATTGGAGAACTTCAGCTCACACACGTTGCAAACAAAAAATCGATTCGGCTGCGCCTGCAGCTGCTTGAGTCCCTCACGCATGTAGACACAGTCGGTCTGATAGTGGACACTGGCCTCCTTGGCGGTGGTCATTCGCAGATCGCAGGCGGTGCACTCGAAGCGACGCTCCGGCACATGTGTGGCCGAGTGCACCAGCAAGAAGGACACATCCGCAAAGATGAAATCGCAGAACTCGCACTGCAGGACATTGCCGAGGACAAGCGTGGTAAAGTATTCGTCATCGTTCTTGAGCGACATCTTGCCCAGCTCAGCGGTTATGGACAGCAGCCGATCGCCCTCCAGCATAAGCTGTTCCAGCTGACTCTTCAGCACTGCTTCATCCTCGACCACAGATTCGGACTCATCCACGTCCGTTGCCGACTGGTGCACAAAGATGTGCTCCAGCGCAAGTTTTACGTCATAGAATATACGGCCACAGTGATTGCATTTAAGCACCACTAGCAGCCCAAGAGTCGAGGGAGCCGTGTGCTGTTGCTGGATGCTCGTCTGAGTGGGAATGAGGTCAAGCGCATGCTTCTCCATGTGACGGACCAGGCCAGAGGTGTGCACAAATTTGCGCTCGCAGATGCTGCATTCGTTTGGCCCCTTGGCGGTGGTTTTCTTGGACTTGGAGCTATCGAAGCCCGTCTCAAGATCGTACTTAAGCTCGTCCTTCATGTAGCGACGGATGCGCACCTGGTTCTCAACGATGATACGTTCGCTAGGCGTCCTTCTGGGTGGCGTGGATGCCTTCTTCTCCTGAACAATTGGTGCCCGAGTATTGGACGTTGGCTTCTGCTCCGACTCATATTCACAGTTGTGATCCTGAAATGAGGGCGTGTCAAAGAGGCCATTGCAATTGGAGCACTTGATGAAGCGAAAGACACTCGATTGCGGCATTACAGGTCGTGGCTGAGACGCCGCCGGCTGCGACGGCTTTTGGACCACAGGCTCAGGTGGTGCGGCACTCTTTTCCGGGACGGTCTTCTTATTATTCACTCCCGACAGAAACTCGCGTAACTTTTCTTGTTCAGCCTCGGGATCAAAGTCCACCTTGCCATCAGCCTCTTGCAGTATTTGCTTCAAAGCCGGATCAGCCAGTGTGCGCTCCACAGCCTCGTCGGTGGGTATCGGAACGCTCGATTGTATCTCAAAGAACTTGGCCAAATCCTCGTGGCTAACAATGCCATCTGTCTCATTGGACACCAGCACGGTGGCACCCGGCTGCAGCTCATCGCTATTCACAACCAAATCGCCATCGAACTCAAATTCAGCCATTAAGAACTCACCATCCCCGTACAACACTAAGTTCGGATCCATTTTCTATTTTTTGATATCTTTAATTTTACCTAGTTGCAATGCTCACTGTCAACCAGCTCGATTTCAAATGAAGTGCCTGGCAAAGTGCTCTCCTCCTTATTAACAAATATCTCAGAGGAAGCGTAGAAAAGGGTTGCTTTGCACTCAGGTTGTCAGATTGATTGACAACATGGGCTATAAGTAACGTTATTTTTGAAGACGTGTCATCGCCAGTACTTCAAGTTCAAATCTTAATTATAAGAGCTGAAGGTAATGGGTAAGTGCTTACTTATACTAGCAGCAATATTCAGTTATAAAGCAGCCCTCGCAAATGTTTTATTTATAGTTCTGTTAGAGTGGTAAAGTGGAATACGAATAGGTCTAACCATACTGACTCGCAAATATACCATGTATGTATATAAGAACTCTGCATATCAATATCCTGAAAGCGGAAAAAACATGTTTCAGACTCCAGCGCTCGCAGGTTACGAGATTGACGCATTCAAGTAGACAAACAGGCTGCATCGATTTGGCTCTTGATCGTGATCAAGAATATATTGAATGGAATGGATCATGCCTTCTTCTGCATGTTAAATACATTTTAATAAATAAATCTATTTTAATCGTGATTCCCATCCTTAGTGGGTTCCAAGTGTACGCATAACCTAGCCTTAAGTTGGCTTGGCCAATAATCCTTAAAGACTTTTGACAGCTTTAATAAAGAAAAAACCTCATGGAAGACCTCAAGAATCGAAAATAGGCAAATAAAAGAATAATTTTAATAGTTATGACAGCCAACGGGTTTTTTTATGAATCAGTACTTTCATGTCAAATTCCAAACATATTTTCGTTATCTTCCGGATATTTCTGTCACTAACTGGCTGATAGTATAAAAGTGAATGTTTTATATTTAGATATTTTTCAATAGCTTCAGCTTTCTAAATTTAGAAATTCAAATTTCAATTTATATATAGCAAGAGGTCAATTTATGTTATAACAATAAAACTACAATTATTTAAAAATGTTTTGTTTTTGTAGTATTACAAATATTAAACAAATGATAAAGTAGTGCTTCAGTTTACTTGGCTTAAGCCATGTTTGGTCAGATAAATGTAAGTATTAAGAATTTATATTATTATTATATTATTATATTATTATATTATATTTCTACTTCAGTTTCAGAATATCAGCGTGAAATGAACACTAAGCAACTGTGCACGGTTAGTCATTTTATAGCTGAGATTAAATTTATACTATGAAATACTAGGCCGTACAAGCTTAATTCCAGATATATATATATCTAAGATAATATTATAAATTGAAATATTTATATATATAAGCAAATTTATTTTATATATATGTATATATGTGATGTTGATTGTTTACGTTTTCTTTTGGGCTCAAGCTGTCGATGCCAAACACCGCTCCAGGTGAAGGTGATTACTGGGCGGCAGTTATCAGTGTCTGCGTTTCCAGATAACAAGCTTCGCAAAATGAGCAAATGAGTAAATGCGGTGACATACCACCTCCGCTAATCAGTGCGATACCTTAGTTTGGGCCGGACAGCACGGTAAACGCCTACGGCATCCAGTTCTATACGCCAATTTGTCGCTCGACAGCTGCAAGGGTCCGCCCTATCTTACAAGCTTGGATTACGGTAAATGAATGAGAGGTTATCCTATGCATATAGACAAAAGAAGACGCCAGAGTAACTGGGCTTTGGCACATGCTTTCTGTTCGTCTTTGTCTTTGGTGGTATGATTCACCAGCAAAGCAACAATAGAAATCCGTAATTTGATAAAAATAAAAAAATAAAACGAGCTGCGCGAGCATTTCTTATCGGCGAATTGCTAGAAGATAATGCGCCACCGTGGATACGTATACGTATGGTTGCCTGGCATAGCCCAACGTTTGGCCGTAGTAGCTCTTTAATAGCAGCGCCATTAATGCAGTGCCCGTACACGTATCGCATTTCAGGGTGTTAAAAGCATGGATGTGGATAGGGCTATGTACGCCTACATCTCCGAGCCAGTGGAGTTTAGGCAGCTGGAGGGACAGCCCATCGACTTTCGCAAGACGTTCGATGTGCGAGGTCTCGGCACCGATGAGATGCTACAGTTGTATATGCGCAAGGCCCACCTCTCCGACGAAGTTGAGCACATGCCGGCAATGCAGCGACGCGCCTATGTCTATGACATAATTAGAAGCCATAAGGGGCCTGGCTACTGGGTGGTAATTGCCAATAGAGCCCGCAAGCCAAACATCAGCAGAATTCATATGACATCATGATCAAACCCATCCTGCTTTTCTCTTCTTCTTATAGCCGCCCTGCATGCAGGTGAGCAGCAACGTCTTCGCCCAGCCGCCGCCAGCAGTTCTACCACCGCCTTTAATCAAAGCATCGCCGGGCAGCGAACGCCGATTCATTGGAGACGGTGTCAGCCTCAGTATGAGCAAGTCATCCTCGTCGAATAGCCTGGGCAGCTTAAGTGGCGGCCCAGCCGCCGTGCCTGGGCCCAGCTTTGCCACCAGCGTCGTGGTCAGCAACAAGGGCTCCAAGTATGAGATAAGCGGGCCCGTCGACTTCCACCATGTATCTGGAGACACTACACGCGATCGCACGCGCAATGCCTTCGATTTGAACGCGGGGGCCAATGACAACGTGCTTAAGAAGTACATGATGGAGCGAGGCATTACCGAGGAGGATGTTGCCGGCATCCGAAGACAAGATCTGATTAAAAATATTGTCCACTCCAATTTCACCTGGATGGTATGACCACCACTTAAGACTAATGTGTCCAAAGTATAAATGCCGCCTTAATTCCGCTTTCTAGCCCAAGAAGCAACAAATGCATGGACAGGAGACAAAAATGCCAAAGCTTGTTTATGCCACCATATCCACAGATAATGAGATCGCGCCACGTCCAGCTCCACCACCAGCGCCACCTGCACCAGCAGCTGCAGCAGGTACCGTTAGGCAGCCTCCTGCGTCCTCTGCCTATTCCAACTACACCTCGCTTACATCTCGTTTTGTGGACATATCTGATATGGACTTGGCTCCAGCACAGCCGTACAACAGGCAGCAGGAAGTAGGTACAGTAGTGCCTGTTCAGTTGCAGCCAGCGCAGCCAAACAGACCCAAAATACCACCTCCGCCCTCAGCAGTGACTGCGGACAATACGCTCGCCTATCCAGCAGCTGTAGAGGTGCGTCCCACTCGACCAAAACCGCCGACCGAAACTTATGCTACGATTGCGCCTCAAACTCAGCGCAAAGTGGGTACAATGCGAGTGGCTCCCCCGGCACCGCCAAAACCAACGATTGTGCCCAGTGGAAACAGAACCCCAGTGGAATTTTCACCGGTTAAGCAGCCACCTCCAGCGCTTGTTAAGCCAACACCTGTCCATAACAATGGCAACCGAACCCCAGTGGAGGTCTCGCCGCTTAAGCAGCCACCTCCAACGCCTATTAAAGCCACACCTGTGCAGCCCAGTTGGAACAGAGCCCCAATGGAGTATCCATCTGCTAAACAGCCAACTCCACCGCCTTTAAAGGAAACGCCTGTGCAATCACGAATGCCTCCTGCACAGGTGTCTCAAAAACCAAAGAATTCCACACATATTAGTAATAATGCGAACGTTCCGCCACCTCCGCCACCACCACCACCAGCATCGGGTGCACCGCCACCACCGCCTCCTCCACCTGCATCAGGTACGGGTGCACCAATGCCACCACCACCGCCACCAACGTTTGGAGTTGCCCAGCCGTTGACAATTAAGAAGTCTGAACAACCAAAGGTGGCTGCAGCCCCGGCTGATGATCGTGATGCTTTCTTGGAAAGCATACGTCAAGGCGTAACACTAAAGGTGCGCAATAATCCACTTAATTTATTTTTCAAAAATTTTACAAATTTTCAATTTTGCAGAAAGTCAATCAGAAAGCAGCGACGATAAGTGGCGTAAAACCCCGTGCTGAAAAGAAGCCAGCAACAACGGATTTCTTGAGCGAGTTAAAATTGGGCATTACACTGCGACGTGTGAAAAATCCTGCAGATAATCCCTATTCAGCGGTGAATTCGGAGGAATCGCATGCGTAAGAATTGCGCGCGTAACTTTTTAAATTAATGGGGCAACGCTTGACTCGGTGGCCAAGCTGACCACCTTATTAGAATTAAGTCATGTCTTTAAATAGCCTGGTCACCCTAAGAACGTAATTTTGAAGTTACTTTTTTAAATTATAAATTGTTATAATATACGTTATCTACCTTATGTTATTATCTATCTACGATGCATTATCAATATTTTCGCTTATTACGCATTTTATATTATGCCAAACATTCAACAATGCATATCGGACACTTAGATAACCCTGTTCAATTTGAAATGTCTTCATGACAATTTACATTTTGTAGTGAACTTCTGTAAATAAAAGTATTTGTGGAGGGGAGTTGATAACATATCTTGCTGATTACTTTTTTAAAGCCGGCGCTTACGAACACTGCACACAAATATGCGTCCAACTGTATGTGTGAGACATAATCAGCTGGACTACTCAGGTGAGCACAGTCGGCAGCAGAGCAGAAACAGCAATCATTTTTGATTTTGATTACAGCTCGATAAGTCTGGAAGTTGCCATTGTGATACTGCAATTTTTAGATTCGACAACTGAAAAGTGTTCGCTGTAGGGCATCTGGCTTTTATTTCGGTCTAACAGAAGGAACTAATTGGAGCATTATGCAACGGATTGCTGTCATTGGTGGCACCGGCATGACCGGTCAATGCGTAGTGGATTATGCGCTAGAAAAGGGTAATGTACAAAGACCTTTGTAAATGAACTAAACTGAACTAACCAAAATGTTTTTTAGGTTTGAAGATTCGTTTACTTTACCGCACAGAGCCCACCATTCCCGAGCGCTTCAAAGGTAAAGTTCAATTAGTTCAGGGCGATGTAACCAATATTGACGACGTTAAACGTCTGATTGAGGGCGATGGAGGAGTCGAAGGTGTTTGCGTTATACTCGGCACACGCAACAAGCTGGAAGCCACAACGGAGCTCTCTCGTGGCACTGAGAACGTAATAAAGGCAATGAAGGAAGCAAATCTCAAGAAATTCTCCATTGTAATGTCGTCCTTCCTTTTGCGATCTCTTAACGAGGTACCTGCTGTATTCCACAAACTAAATGAGGAACACAGGCGTATGCTTGATTTGACAAAAGCATCCGGCTTGGACTATGTGGCTATATTACCACCACATATCGCCGATGAACCGGCCAGTGGCTATACCGTGGTGCACGATGAAGCACCCGGACGCTTGGTTTCTAAGGAAGATTTGGGAAAATTCATTGTAGATTCTTTGGATCAGCCTGAACATTATGGCAAAGTTTGCGGCATCGCCAAAAGCGCTTAACTGATACGCTCAAATTGATGATCAGCATGACATCAGCAAAATAGTATCCCTTCCGCATATAAATGGGTCTCAACTTGCAGTTGGTTCTTCATAAACGTACAATTAGCTATGCTATTACAGCCTTATAAAGGCAACTAACAATAATATTTTATGTATTCGTACTTGTATGGGTCTGCGTGTGTGTATTACGTATGCGCACTGTAAACTTTCCTTTTTAAAACAACAAATAAATAAATTTAAATTGTAATTACGTGCGATATCAATTGGCAATCGGCGCTTGTTCGGTCAGACACCTGAAATTTCAAGCCATTAGCAGCTGTCGTACAGCACGTCATGCAGGTATTTCGAAAATGTGCACCTGTAGAAATCTTACACAAACCAACAAGAATTATATGAGGCCGGAGATCAACCTGCTGCTTCCGCTTTCAGGCCCAATGCCAATATTCATTAAGCAAATAAACGAGAATAATACGTGAGAAACCTACATGTACCTAAGTACAGGACTCAATCGATATATTGAACTTATTGCTTTGTTAATATAAAGTAATATAGCTGATGTGATTAGGAGATTCTCAAAATAATATTACGATATAAATGCCAATTCTAATGTAGTTATTTTGTTTTGAAAAATATTCCTTCTATCAATAGTTCACTGTACGCACCCATACACCCATACATCGGCATACTGGCTCTCAGTTTCGTGCACGATTCTGGTGTATTTTTGTGTAACTGAAAAAATGAAGAAGCTTTCGGCTCTCTCGTTGGGCAACCGATGTGCCTCGCCTATTTCAGATGCAGCTGTAACAAAAATAACATTACCGGGCACACATCAATTTTTGGCTTGTCGCAGCACCGTGAACTTGAACTTGTCATAGATTTCTCACGACAGATTGCAGACGAATGTTTCCGTTTTATCTTCCGTGCATTGCAAAAACACAATGTGTTTAAAATGTCTACAACTTTAATATAATTTATTGCCATACATTTGTTGCTTAATGCTATGTTTCCAATCTCGATATGTATATCTATGCTACGGTTATTTGGAAGATAATTGAGCTATCATATGTAGGTAGATAATGTCTAGTTAGCGTTCGAGCAAATAACACCACAACAAATCATAAGAACATAATCATAAATTAATAATAACACAAAACTAAATTAACATAAATATATTATGAGCAATATATTTTATAACACGCTAATAATTTGTGTGTATTAAAGCATTGTCCGATAAAGGTAACAAAAAATACATGCGGAAAGTAATATTTAAAAATCAACACGAGCGTAATATGAATGTTTACGGTTTTTCTTTTGTAATCGTAATGGAATCAGAAGCAAACGCTTAAAGGCTGTGACGGCTCTACCGCTGGACAGTATTTATATATATATATATTATATATGTTAAGGCCGAAGCCCAAGCGTTTGCCCAATTTGACTAGTTTAACTGACACGCTCCGCTCCACGTCAAGTTGGAAGCGCTCGCAGCTTGGTTAGGCCAATACTACTACTACTACTGGTGCTGACGTCTATAAGACCTTCTTCATGTATTTCTTGTTTAGATTTTGTAAGCTTGGCAGCTCGCAGTGGCGCGGTCCATACATAGAAACAGGTGCACAGTACTCATACCCAATGCGTTCGTAGAAACCATCCTGATCGATGGTCGACAAATAAATGGTATTTAAGTCGAGCACCACACGGCAATAGTCCTCGGCAAACTTCATTATCAACTTTCCAAAGCCTTGGCCACGATACGTCTTGTCCACAACAACAGACTCCACAAAGCAAGCCTTCTTTTTGGATGTGATGGGACTCAGCTTCAAGTGCGCTATCACACGGCACATTCCCTCCGTGGTCAGGACCAGGCTGCAAGGCAGAGTATCACAAGAAGCTTGCAGAGAGCGCATGCGTGCAGTCTCGGAGCGCGGCCATTCGGAGTTGATGAGCGCGCATGTATCCTTCATTAGCTCGGGAGCGTTGTGTATTGGCACCACATTGAACGGACTGCCAGAAACATTGAACGGTGGAAGCCCCTGTAAATAAACCAAACAAATTACTAACACGCCCATAGGTCTGACAGTTAAAGAAATAAATCGTTTTTTTTTTTTTGCTATGAGTGGTCCAGCTACCTCATAGTACGGCTCCGGTTTAATATAACGCATATCGCCTTAACTGATAAACTAATTGGGCCGACGGTTGTTGTGCCAGCATCAGGCTACCAAAGTGTGACAAAATCTAAAAGAGAACAAATAAAATTCTATTCGTTTCCAATGGATGTGCAGCTTATCTACGACTTGCTAAAATAGTTCTGATTTATTTACACATGAACAACTGGAATATATGTATTTATAACATAATGGCTATGAAGGAAACAACATTACAATTTGTACACATTAGACAATTGCTTTGGACACCATGGGAAGCACAACGCTGCGTAAAGTGTAAGAGTTTTCGTATAACTATATTTAGCAATTAATTCAATACAGCCTCAGTCTCAAAACAAATAATACATAAAAACTATTTATTTTATGTTTTTAAGAAAAATACAACTATAGCTTATTCTAGCTTTATTGCTATCATTTCTACTTTTTAAAAATGAGTTTTATTAAAAAAATTAAATAAATAATAATATGAATATAAACCCATCATCTTATCTTTCACTATTATATAAATATTATTTTTAAAAATGTATTCTTGAAGTTGCATTTTCCAAGCATTGAACTTGAGTCTAAGTTGCAAAGCTTTGAGATAAGCTAAAGAGATCTTTCGCTAATTATAAACAAAGAAATTATATTACTTCTGTATATATTTATAAATAAATATATTTAATTTTAGTGATCGAGACTATGTGGGCGTAAAGTCATGGATAACATACACATTTGTACATACATACACATATTCTAACATACATATGTACATTACTACACAACTACATACATATGTGTGCGCATAGTTTCGTCCGCGAAAATCAAGGTGAGCCATAAAAAGTTTTTCTAAACGTTAACGACACTTGCACGACCTTGACTGGCCAAATCGGCAAATAGTATAATGAATAATCATATTTCAAACACATTCTTTGGGATAACTGGGCTATGATTGTGGCATATGACAACCAACACTCATACTTATGTATATATGCAGAGCCAGTAATGAAATGAGTTGTACACGCTTGTAGAAAAAACAGCTAATGCACACACACACACAAACTTAAAGTCGATTTAATTGTTGAAAAATGCGTAATAATTATTGATTTTTGCTGTTTACCATTTCGAGCACTCGTTGCTCTTTGCGTTGTTGTTCCTCACGAGCGCCACGACGAAATGTACAAAGCGTACTGATATAGTTTCCAATTCTGGCGATCCGCAGAAATGGGCCAAGTTCCGCAGGCCGAGCAAAATGTTTAATATACAATTGATGTTGATGATAATGTTTGTGTATTTGTATTTGTGGCGGCAGTGACGGTGTTGACGTTAACAACAGTATACGGTTGGTTGATTTTGTACAAAAGAATTGGTTTGATATGTATGAGTTAGCCCTGCCTCTATGTTTTAATTCAAATATGAGTTTAATTTAAACTGCAGCCGTTACGCTTTGTTTTATTTTTAAACATTTTGCTTAATATTTTCATGTGTGTGGAGCGATGGTATGTTGCCACCTTGTTGATAAATGCATCGCACTGCCAACTTTTTAGTAAAACGAATCGGCTGGCCACCACAAATTATCGAGCGTTTATAAATACATCGGGAATAATAAACAAAATATAAATAACAAAAAGTGGACTACTAGCGCTTTACGGCAGACGGCTTACACATAAATAATAAGACACATATACTGCAATTAACAGTTTAATAGTGAACTTACAGCGACCTAGTGCCGTAGTAATTGTTAAGGAGCAGCTGTTGAATTTTCTCTTCGCGACACTGAAATATTTATTACACAACAAATAAATCAAATAACGACATATCGACAATGTGCAACATTATAAAATTGGCATCGTAGTCTATAAATAATTTGTAAACAAACTGAGAAAGAGGAAAGACGCTCGCTCAAATAAATAGCAACAAGGCATTGACTTTGACCCACTGATTGATCTGCAATTGTATTCTGTCATCGGCCGACGTCGACGTCTACGAAATAAACGTACCGCATACCCAACAGATTCACGTGCAGCAGCTGCTCAAATGGCAAATCGACAAATGGCGCAGGCACCAGAAAATCACTTACGTCTATCCTGGCATGATACTCAGATGATGGCCACACTAAGTCCACAGACAGTAATGGACTATTTTTGTCGAAAGAGCAACCCGTTCTATGACCACATGTGCAACAATGAAACGATACGAATGCAACGTCTAGGAGTCGAGCACTTGCAGTAAGTGCTTAGCGCAGTTAATAAAAGATTGGGATCTTTCTACATATCATATGTTTGCAGTAATATGCTTGGCATGGAGTATATTTTGCTTCATGTAGCTGAACCCATTCTCTATGTCATCCGTAAGCAGCATCGGCACAGCCCCTCAGAGGCTACACCAATTGCAGATTACTATATAATTGGAGGCACTGTGTACAAAGCACCCGATCTGGCAAATGTTATAAATGCGCGTATAGTAAGTATGATGCCTCCCAATTTTCACTATACGATTCTACAATGATATACCTGCAGCTCAACACAGTTGTAAATCTGCAGTCCGCATTCGAGGAAGCCAGCAGCTATGCGCGCTATCATCCCAACAAGGGATACACTTGGGACTTTTCGTCTAACAAAGTTTGTAAGTAGTATACATGTTCTCTATTTGCAAGGAAGCATAATTCCTCACATATTGCTTATAGTATCGGACAAGTCTAAAACTGACAAAAAGGATTCCAATGCAGCCAAGGATGATAGCAGTGGCACTCTCTTTCAAAAACAACGTGTGGATATGTTGCTGGCCGAATTATTGCGTAAATTCCCACCGCCTATACCACCAATGCTGCAAAATTTGCAACAGCCACTCCAAGTTGGCCCAGGCGCCGATGTTGGTATGGGTGCAAATTCGGCAGAGAATAATGCCATTGGGCCACTAGATGTGGCAACAGAGAGCATAGACATGAAACCGCCGCCTGAGAAAAAAACGAAATGATGTGCGACCGTTTAAATTATTTAATCGTATATTTGATATTAACTGTAAAGTAAACACAACTTAAACTAAGGCATTTGATTTAATCTTCATCTAGAGCACTCAGTGCATTAGTTGTGACCGACTTCTTGTTTTTTGAGTGTACTGTCAGGCAGTGGTTGGTATAATCGAGTATGCTCTTGAATGACTGCTTACAGATGTGACAGGGCACAGATTTTGTAGGCGTACGATATACGCCAGCGTGGGCCACACGCTTGGGAGCCTTCTTAACCGATGGTGGTGCCATTTTTACATCTTTACGTGCTGGGTCCGTACCTCCACAGCTATTGTTGGTGGTGGCTACAAACGCAGAGAATGTAACAAAGGAATTTCGCCCCGTCCTCGGCTTAAACTTACCCATGGGCGGTTGTTTCTCTAACTTTTGCATTATGCTCTCTCGCGGCTTTGAGTTGTCGAAGCTTACAGCTGACGAGCTGGGAACCAGCTTAGGTAGCTTAGCCTTTTTAACATGATTTAACTCAGTATATTCAAGCTTGCGCTTCTCGCCGGGCGGTATTTTGTCACAGTTCTGCATCAGATGTATGTGTAGCGCGCGTTCCAGGACAAACTTTTTGTCACAATATTTGCAGAAAAATGAATTCTTGTTTCTCGTAATTAGCGCACTCTTCAAGTGTGAATCCATGTGCGTATCAAGCAGGTTTTGCTCACGGAAAGTGGCACTGCATAAGCGGCATTTAAATGTATTTATTGGACGAGCAGTTACAACAGCTACATCCACAGCAGAATGTGTTGCCTTTACAGTGATTTCCTTGCTAGAGGTGATTTGAGACACACGAGGCAACAAAGACTTTCGGTATCCACTATTTCCTATAGCAGTCTTGGACGCGGGCATGCAACTGCGGCGACCAATAGGATTACCTGTAGCTAGTTTACGCGCTGGACTATTCAATGTGGTTTTCACAACAATCGACATCCGCTGCTTAAATGTTGTGCCACTAGCTGTGGGCAGGAAGGAGCGGCGCGGGCGAGGCAAAGCAACTATGGGCAGCTTTGTTGATTTTTCGGGCTTTGTTGAGCCCTCGGTAAGCTTGAGAGCTTTAGCGATCAACTCGGAAACTTCATTGACCATGTCAGTGACCTCAGCCACTTTTATTTCCTTTATGTCCTGTTCGACTGCAACCAATGGAGATGTAGACGGCATAGTTATGGACGGATCCTCATTCGAAACTGAGTAATTAAAAAAACTTCATCTTTAGCTGCTAATTAAGAATAAATATAATTTTATATTTTACCTTCCGTAATATTTTCTAGCACAACATTTTCGCTCAAAGGGTAAATATTACTCTTATTGTTGTTTTCTTTCACAGAATTTTCCTCAAGCGTAACATTTGTCTCACTGAACATCGTATTAGTCTTCACAGTGGAGGCTGTGGCGTCAATAGTGGATGATAATGTTGAATTCTGTTCATCTGGCTGTGCATTTTCCTTATCAGCGTCCATTGAAGTCACATTTTGACGCATGCAGGGCATTATGTTTTTTGTGGGAGTCGAGCACAATGCATTATGTTTGTTGAAAATACTTTTGTCAAAAGGGCGCAAAGGAGAGGCCTGATCTTTCGAAATGTCATTCTTCATTATAGTGTCAAGTATTGTTTTTACATCATTTTTCTTCTCCTCCAGGGTGTCGTCATGTATTGGGTCCTGTTCCATGTTTTGCATTTCCAAATAATGACTAGTTTGAGATGCCATCGCCGATTGCCATTTACTAGCCAGCGTGTCATCGGCGTCAAAGGACAAATACACACTGAGGCTGTCCTCACCGGAAGCAACTGAACGACGCGAATTCTCCATAGTTTTACTACAAACAAGAAATATTCACTTAATTTGGAATTTGTGTGAAACACAGTACGAAAACAATAAATCTTAGTTTATATTAAAAAAAGATTAAAAAATCGCGCTGAACTTCACTGACGCTTAGCCTTGGCTGTACCAACAACTATTCGTTAATATTTCAAATGTATTTCACAACACTAAACGCGCCAACTAGTTTTGAACGGCGTTAAAAATTAATCGCAGCTTCACAGTGAGTATTAAAAAGACTTTGTATTTTTCTTTTTTATTTCAATTATACATTTGTGGTGTTGCGTCTTTTTTCATATTATACTGATTGTTTGTCTGAAAATGTGCTAAAATTTTAAACTATCGACGCTTGCTATGATTTGATATTTAACAGCCCTGGCTTATCGGCTATCGGTCGAAGTTTACATATAAAGTTTCGATAAATCTTGTATATACACAATTGGTTCTTGTATTTGCATAAAAAGACTTGCCAAAATATTGTACAAACAAAATAAACTTTCGATCAATATTAATGAAATTTAAGTTCCTGTTCCTATTGTAGTGAAACGAGCTTAAAATAACGATAATTCCTATAACCACATTGAGGTGGCGTCAGCAGTGATTGTGACTCACTTTCCAAATTTTTCCCACCTACAAAAAAAAATCGCAACCACTTGCTAAGTCATCAGTTTGACGTAAACATCACATCTTAATAATCACGTAATGGCTGCAGTCGGAGAAAATGAACCACGCACGGAGTTGCAGGAGTTGCAGATTAAGTCTGGCCAAGTGGCCGACGAATCGTTGGAAAGCACTCGTCGTATGCTTAGCTTAATGGATGAATCTAAAGAGGCGGGTATACGCACTCTGGTCGCTTTAGATGATCAGGGCGAGCAGTTAGATCGTATCGAAGAAGGGATGGACCGCATCAATGCTGATATGCGAGAGGCCGAAAAGAATCTCAGCGGCATGGAGAAATGCTGCGGCATTTGTGTGCTGCCTTGGAAGAAAGTCAACATCAAGGACGACAGCGATAGTGCCTGGAAAGCCAATGACGACGGAAAGGTTGTGGCAAGCCAGCCGCAACGTGTTATTGATGAGCGGGAACGCGGTGGCATGGGAGCACCACCTCAATCCGGGTATATAGCTCGCATAACCAACGATGCACGCGAAGATGAAATGGATGAGAATTTGGGGCAAGTAAACTCAATGCTAGGTAACTTGCGCAACATGGCCTTGGATATGGGATCGGAGCTTGAGAACCAAAATAAGCAAGTCGACCGCATCAATGCCAAAGGTGATGCCAACAACATACGCATGGATGGTGTTAATAAGCGCGCAAACAGTCTGCTCAAGAGTTAAATGACAAAATTATAAGCACTCGAAACGATAATGATAAACTTAGCCAAAAGCAGCTCGTCCCCTCTCTTCACATACGTGGTACAACTTACTATCTCACAGAAACTTTCACAACCAACACAGAAACAGCAACAACAACAAGGAACAAATGTTGTGGGCACAAATATATAAGCAGTAGCGACTATATTAGTTGATATATTTTTTGCTACTGCAATATCTAACTTTATATTATACGTATATACTCGCTAAAGCAAAAATGGAAAATATCAACTAACGCGACTAACCCATCTATACAATAATATATACATATATCTACTTGTATACCTATTGTCTAACTAATAAGCACGCGTTTACGCGCCACCAAAAGTGAAACACAAATTTTATAATGAGATTTTCGTATAAAAGTATTTATATTTTTTTTTTGTACAAACTTTTTGAGGCATTTTCCGACCTTCATGAATCAAACAAGACAACTTTATGATGAAATATTTACAATTTGTGCGGCCCGAGGTGATGAGGCATTTATAAGGAGTCAGCGGAACGAACGCTTGGTTGGGACATATTAAATATTTAAGAGTAGTGTCATATTCGTAGCCAATTTATGTGCATTCTTTGTGTACGCCACTTTGTTAATACTATACAATATGTATATTGATGTACCCCTATCTATTTACAATATATACACAAATATTTATATATATTATATAGGTCGACCAAATTGTGAACCCAGTTATTAGATTAAGTCGCTGCAACTGCTTGTTTTGCAATAATCTATTTGTTTGTCTCAACACAAAATAATTTTCATGGAAATGTTTATTGTATCTGTATTGAACAATTATGTATATTGATTAGTTTTAATCCCGCTTTAAGAAATTATTATTGCCACTTAAGTTTCATTGTAGCTGTTATAAATTGCAACAATTTAAAAATTAAACGTGTGTTTGATTTATTTCAAATTACCAATCACTACCAATTTACAATCTTTACGCAAGTCGAAAATAATTATATGTTGCAATGTAAGCGGAAAAGTCATCTCCACAGTCTTCTCCGTGCAAAAATTCTATTTCGGGCGCTGCCTCGACTGGAATGTAGACAATGCTTCCGCGCGATACGGTAATTTCTTTGGGACCATCTTTGGTGTTTAGCTTAACAATCCGCACACCTGTTAACGTCAACATGATAGATCCATATGCTTTAATCTCTAGTTTGTATTTATCTACGGTGTGCCTTATAGCCACGTGCATTACGGCAAAGTCGTTAACAGGTGGCGCAAACACCTGTACGAAATCATCGATGCGATACGGAATAAATAGCTTGCATCGCGCAGGCTTGCCATCATATATCACGGATGCAATCAGCTGTTCGACATCTTTGTATTTGGGCGTGAGTCCCGCACGAATGACATTATCAGAACAGGCCATGCACTCCACACATTCGCCATCCAAATAAGCATGAATCTCATTGGCGCCCAAGAATATGGCCTGACCAGGCTGCATTCGGACTAGATTTAGAAAGAATAGGGATAGAACACCAACGTCACCAGGGAAGTCCTCATTGATCTTGGTAAATACACTCAACAATTCATTGCTCTCGAGCTCTATATAAAAAGAAAAAATTTTAATTGAAATGCATTAGCTAACTTTTCCGACTTGCCTTTCTTGTAGTTTGTGGCTATCTCTTTGAGACACGCGGCAATCTTGGTTTCATCGGATTTCATTAAGATCTCATAGCAATTCTTTAAGCATTCTGAATCTCGCTTTTGGTGCAGTTGATGAACTAGCTCCTTGCCGATGAGCTTGGATAGAGGCTGGAACTCGTCAATGTTATCGATGATGTCATCGATCGGTTGGAATCCAACCAATGCTAAAAAGGGTGTTAGGGCAATACACATTTCCGGCTTGTGGTTATCATCCTTATAAATTGTCGGTCGCTCCTTGTGCAGACGCTCGGCTTCGCATTTATTTGGATGCACTTGTATACTGAGTGCTTTTTTGACGCTCAATACCTTGAACAGGTACGGCAGTTGGAGCTTGATTGCACGGTCAAGAGTTTCTCCTGTCTCCTTAACAATCGAAACACCACAAAAATGTGTGCCCATCCACATTTCTGCATATGATTCGTTGTCATTCAGGATAAAATCCGGATCGTTTGCCATTGCCAGCTGGGCAACGGCAGAGCTAATGCCAGTTTTGCCCCATTCGTAATTTTTTACCCAGCCAGTCAGCTCCATTGTCTTAACGAGGAAAACTTTTCTTTCTCTACTGGGGTCAACCTGAAGGTGATAAGGAACATATGACTTCAACAGCTGTGCAGGGAGGTGGAATGGCTATCAACTTGTAGCTACGTGTAAGTTTTTGGAAATATGGCAATTCTAATCTACTCACCACGCCTACACCTGCGCATATAATAAAAAATTTTGAATTTTCTATTTTCTTTTAATTTTGATCTACATATTTTTAAAATGTCAGATAGTATGACCGCAAACGGTAAAATACTGCTTCTCCAATTAGAATCAATTACTTAAACAAATCCGTTATAATCTGTATACTGACAGTTCTTTATAGTTGTATTCAACAGAATATTTCATTATTATTATTTGCCATTAAGAATATGTTTATCTATGGTTTTTTAAATATAGGTTTTATTTAATTTTTGTGGATCGTTTTTAAATATATAACAGCTTATGTTAATGATTCTGTTGTTCCAAATAACATTCACCAATTGGCGAGGCTTACATAAATATCGTTGAAATGCAACTATCGCTCATCGCTAGTGACAACTTGCACTTTGTCGGCATTTTCGGTTCTTTACTTAGTTTTTTAACTTTTAAGGTACGTAAAAAAGAATATTACACATCACGATTATTATTTTGGGCGGCTATTTTCTGTTTTGCTTTGCGTGTTACGCCCTACAAACAAAGGGTTCAATATCATTAAGACGGCAGCATGCGTACTAATTTACAAGTACATATATATGTATGTATATACTCACATATATGTATGTAATAAATATATGCGGTGTACACTGCAGCCTCACCGCGTTTATACTTCTAAAATCATAATTATATGTTTTCAATATTTGATATAATTTCGAAATTATAAAGCGTTTTACATTTTACAGTTCTGGAGCAGAAACCCGATTGATTGTTTGGTAGTAATTTGTAAATAATTTATTAAATCGTAAAACAGTCAAAATTCTCCGTCATGTTGCTAGTTCATAAAATTCATAGGTTCCGTCAACTAGGAAAGTTTTGCAAATTAAATTTTCGAACAATCAGCAGTTACACACTAAAGCAACATTTCCGAGATCAGTCAAAGCGCGTTTTATATTCCGGGGAAGCAAGAACGCCAGTTGCGTTCGCAGCTGTTAATTACAGGTATTCTATGGTTATTCGATCAGCCCTTATCTAAATGCATATCTGATTTCTATGTTTGTTGCAGCACACGTGTTAATACATTAGAATTCGGCGATATGGCCAGCAAAACTTCTCATTTCGTGTTGCCAAATACTCAGCCCATTGCTGATTTGGACTGTAAAAATGCATTTGAAAATTTAACCAATAAGGAAAAGCTGTACGCTCACTATTTTAGCAAGGCATCATGGGATGGTGGCCTTGTCGCTTTAATCCAGTCCAGCCCGGAGGCGCCACTTATCTTCTCGCTGCTACATCGTATTTTTGTTGCCGAAAAGCCCGCGGAGCTGAAAACCAAAGCATTGGAGGCGGGCGTCACAGAAGATGATTTTACCGTGAGTTTAAAAATATATCAAATTCAAAGCAGCTGCTACGTGAAATATATAAAAGTTGAGTTGGATAAGATTGTTATCATATGCCAGTAAAATTCGTAACTGCTTAATACTTTCTTACCTTCTCACCAGTAGAAGTTGTTTACGGTTTTATCATTCTCCGGAAAGTCTGTATTTAAGAATAACTCGTGTATTACAATTCTAGGCATTCCTTGTTTACGCTTGTGGCGTGTTCGCAAATGCAGGCAATTACAAAGGCATGGGCGATAGCAAAATCGTGCCCAATTTGACGGAGGACAAATTTGAGTTAATTGTGCAGTCGTCGGCTGCATATAAAGATGAACCGCGTGTGACCAAGATTTTTGCGAAGGTGAAAAATCTTATTTATGAACTGAATGCCCGTAATGAAGTGCTCGGTTTTGCACCAAGTGGTGTAACCACATATTGGTCGGACAACTGCACTAAAGAAGATTCGGAAATAGTCAATGACTGGCTGACGACGAAGCGTATTGAGCCATATATGTGTCGAACATTCAAGGTGACAGAAAATGGAAAGACATTTTACGACGTTAAGCTCGGTTCAGTTGAGAATTCCAGCAAGGACGGCATTACCTTGGCGATGGAGGAATACAAGGGTAACCAATTCCGGGTTACCCGTGGTGATTATCAACCGTTGCTGCAACGAGTAAATGAAAATTTGCTTCAAGCCAAAAAATATGCTGCCAATACAAATGAGGAGAAAATGATAGAGCATTATATTAAATCCTTCGAAGAGGGCTCTTTAGCCGAGCATAAGAACGGTTCCAGATGGTGGATCAAGGATAAGGGACCCGTTATTGAGACGTACATTGGTTTCATCGAAACATATCGCGATCCAGCTGGCGGGCGCGCCGAATTCGAGGGCTTTGTGGCCATGGTCAACAAAGAAAGTTCAGCTAAATTCGCCGAACTAGTCAATCGTGCCGAGAAACTTCTAGAATATTTACCCTGGACTGAGCCCTATGAGAAGGATTCGTATTTGAAACCTGATTTCACGTCTCTCGATGTGCTAACGTTTGCTGGAAGTGGTGTTCCTGCTGGTATCAATATACCAAACTGTAAGTAGAAATATGTTTAAAGGAAACTGAAATATTATTTGTATTCTATCTTTCAGATGACGAAATTCGTCAGGATGAGGGCTTTAAGAACGTTTCGCTGGGCAATGTGTTGGCTAACATAAATCGCAAAGATGCCATACCTTTTTTATCAGATGAGGACCAGACGCTTATGAAAGAGTACAAAGTAAAAGCATTTGAGGTTCAAGTAGGATTACATGAGCTGTTGGGACATGGTAGTGGCAAACTGTTCCGTATTGATGAAAATGGTACCTACAACTTCGATGTGAAGACGGTGAAAAGCCTCATAACTGATGAGCCCATTACCAGTTGGTATAAGCCTGGCGAAACATACGATACGAAGTTCGGAGCCATTGGTTCATCCTACGAGGAATGCCGCGCAGAAGCAGTTGGTCTCTATTTATCTTTGCAGCGGGATATATTGGAAATATTTGGTTTCAAAGATGCTGCGGAGCAGGACGACATCATTTACATAAACTGGCTAAGCCTGATTTGGAACGGTATGGGCGTTGCCTTGGAAATGTATAATCCCAAATCTAAGCTGTGGCTACAAGCGCATTCGCGTGCGCGTTTCGTCATCATGAAAGTGTTGCTTGAAGCAGGTGAAGGATTTGTTACCATTAAAGAGACTGAGGATGGTAAAAATCTGTTACTAACATTGGACCGTAGTAAAATCCAAACGGTTGGCAAAAAAGCGCTTGGTGAATTTTTAACCAAGCTGCAGGTGTACAAGTCCACAGCTGATATCGAAGCAGCTTCGAAAATGTACGAACACTACTCGGAGGTAAACGAAAGTGGACCTTATCCTTGGGCAAAGTGGCGTGATATATGCCTAGCGCACAAGAAACCGCGAATTATTTTGGTGCAGGCCAATACGGTTGTAAATGGAGACAAGGTAGAATTGAAGACCTATGATGCGACTCACGAGGGTTATATTCAATCGTGGGTGGAACGCTATCCCACTACTGAGATTGATAATGTACTGGAAGATATTGTAGAGCACGATAAAAAGTATTTCCCTATGGCCTATTCTAAATAAGACAGTTGTAAATCGTACATTCATGTTGATTCAGAGTATACATACGTAAATTGATATATTAAAGATCTTTATATACTGACAAAAATTGTGGCTTTTTCTAGATTCCATTGCTAACATCAGTTGAATAATGCTATATAAGATCGTTGTATCTTACGATAGGTCTTACTACTTTACAGCGGTTGCCTGATTCTTTTAAAAAGTCCTTTTAATACATATCGATATATAAATATCGATATAAGTAAGAATATGTGATTGTACAATAAATATGAAAAAAGGCATCTAGGCAATATTTCCCTTTTTTATTATACACAGATATTATACAATTTGTTTTATGTTCTTGTAGTTTATATTTTTTATTTAATTTGTTTTTACGTTGTTTTGCTACCATGGCAACGATGACTGGAATATGGGTGGATCCAAGGGATGCACAGCCAGCAGTTTATATCACAGGGAGGTTCGCGAAATTCGGGGCCGTTGACGAAGTGCTTCGACACAAGAACGACAAATTTGTCTGCGAGGCCTTAATCGAGTCTGATCAAAGAAGTAAAGAAAAGACAATGGAAAATCGACTACTCCACCGGAACGCCAACACCGACCACTTGATGACCGATGAACTAAAGCAACTGAAACGCCAGGAGTTCGTTGATCGCAAACGGCGCCAACAGCTGCGCAACGACTGCGAGGAACTACGGCAACTGGCCGAGCAGCTGCGACTGGCATCGATTACCAAGGATCTCGATGATCATATTATGGAAATAAATAGAAGTCGACAAATGGCCGCACAGGTAAAAGTACAAGGATTGCAACGTGCAGAGGCAGAAAGGCAACAGCACTTGGCCATGGAGCTGGAAAAGGAGTTGCGTAGAAAAGAGCAACAAGAGGAGCTACGTAAAACACTAGCATCCCAAGTTGAAGAGCGGCGACTATGTCGGCAGAGGCAATATGTGGAAACTCTGGCTGAGCGGGAAGAGCGTATGGCCATGCAGCAGCAAATCGAAGAAGAAGATAGAGAGCACCAGCTGGAGCAGAAGCGCTTAAAGCTGAAGAAGCGAGACGACATCATTCAGCTTATAGAGCAGAAAAGAGAATATGAGCAGCTGCAAAAAGCAAAGTGCAACGAGGATATTTCAAAACTAATTGAGAAACAATTGGAGGACGCTAAGCATCGGGAAGAAATGGATAGGGCCAGGCTAGAAGCGATACGTAAGCAACAGGAGATAAGTTTGCGAATTGGTCATCAGGTGCTTGAGGTTGAAGTAAGTCTACTGGGATCTGTTCAAATGCCATTCATATTAAAAGTATATTTTTGATCTATTTCATTGCAGAATAGAAAACGACAACGGGACAATCTGTTGCTGGATCTGCTGCAGGCAGAGTACAAAGCGAAGGACGATGAACGCTACCGGCAGCAGCTCCAGCAGGAGCAACTCGAGCGCCAGCGTGCCCGCCAAGAATTAGAACGGTATCGTGCTGAAGCTTTTGAGCGCAATATGGAAAATGCACGCAAGAAGAAGGAACAAGCTCTTAATAAAAATCTAATTATCTCCGACATGCCTGAGATTAGCGAAACCGAAATGCAGACACGTCGACAACGGAAGGAACATGGTGCATTACTTCTCTCGATGATTGAGGACAATAATCGCAAGCGTGCCGAATCAGCAGCTGAACATATTAAATTCTTCAATTTGAAAGCCAAATCAGACGCCGAACGGCAGGAGCGTATTGAGGAGGAGCGCCTGCAGATGCTGAGCTCTGTGCCTACTTCGGTTCTGAAATATTTACCAAAGCAAGTGCTTTCAGAAGCGGATCGCAAGTATTTCAATGTACAGGAAAAACAAGCGTCAGGTTAATCGGATACGAATTTTAGCCTTTATTCCTCGGTCCAAGGTTATTACAAATTTTAAAATAGTTGTGTTGTTCAACATAAAAATATATGTATGAAAATATTTAATTATAGTAAAATCCCAAGTTGGCATTTCAAACATAGACACCCAACCCGCCCAATTTGCCTACGTGACGTGTCTCATTCATTGCTGAGGGTTGCCATATTTCTGTCAAATATTAATAAACTAGTTCAGGCTAGTACGCTAATCACGGTTCACCGAAATACATATTTAGAACTCACAGTTTCAGAGTACCTCTTTTGGTTACTTGTTAAATATGTGACGATGTAAACAAAAATATTATCTTTGAAATGTGTTGATTACCATTAATGAAAAAATGAGCATGTGCTGTCAATTTTTGTATTGTGCATATTTAAATAGCACGTAAGCGAACAATTTGCTTGAGTAAATATAATTAGAATCCGAATTTTTTTTAATATGTATTTAATATAAGAAACAAACTAAAATTTACCATTGTGATCAACCTTCAATTTGTATCACAGTGATTACGAGTTCTATCAAATCACTATATTGATTGTATTTAAACTCATTACACGAGAGCTTGACAACCCTGAGTAAGGCCCACACAGCATAGAGTATGGCAGCACCAGCACGTCGCATTCGCTTTAGTTTAATGGCGGACAGTAATGAAAAAAGTGGGAGTGATCTCTGTTTTACTTCTATATTAAATAATTCAATAAATTGAATGTTTAAATAAATAACAAAAGCAAACTGTTCAGGCAAATACAAATTGCAGTGTTTTTAAAAATGTCTAAACATGTGTTAAGCGATAATCGAAGTGTAACAACATAAAGTGCACAAACGAAAACAAAAAAAAATCCACAGAATACTGCGAATTGGCATAGACAGACAATACGCGGAAGCAGTGTAAAAAGCAAAACAGAAACGAACTTTGTACACTGTTGCAAGTACACAAAACTGAATAATAAATAAAAAATAATAAAAGACTCAAAAATGTCTGCGCAACGTTTAAACGCAGCCGAAAAAGAACTAGAAAAATACATAAAATCCCTTGCGTTCAAATCAGCACAAGTTGTGGTGCAATCTCGCCTTGGTGAGAAGATACAAACACAGTGTAGTCCGCTGGGTGGCAACGATTGGTTCAACATTGTTGTACAGGATCATCCGGATGTGCTGGACGAGACGAAACGTGCTCTAGCACTCAAGCCAGGTGAAAGCATTTTGCAACGCCTGCCGCTGTGCGTTGAGATTTCGTTAAGGACCAGCGAGGGCGATAAAATGATGCTTGAGGTGTGGTCATTGGATTTGTTGCCAGTGGATAGTAATAAAGCAGCCGCTGGAGAAGACTGCAAGGGCGAAGGCTGCAACACAAACACCATCAATGATAGTCAAACACTGAAAGCTTCCTCCCATCAGCTTCACGTTATTTACAATCGCATGAGCATTATGCTTAAATCCCTTATCTCACTCACACGTACGACGCCTGCTTATAAGTTGTCGCGTCGACAATGCCCGGAATCATATGGCATCTACTATCGCGTCTATGTGGATCGACCGCAGGTGCACACACTAGGCGAGCGTCACAAACAGGTGAAGATTGGGCAGCTCAACACGATTCTGGGCTCGGTAATCATGTCGGTTGCCTATCGCACCAAGCTGACCATATCACCCACAGCTGGCCACCAAGCTGCATCGGCTGCTCATCAGGCGCAACACAACAATACCATCATGCTGAAGTCGGATCACTTTCGGCCTGCCAGTGATGCCAGCTCACCCGTACATCAGATGTCATCGGTTAAGTTTGCAGTGGGCGTGGGTGGTGCGGGCCCTGGAACGGCTTCTGATAAACGTTTCATAGACATTGAGAAACCGTTGCGTCCGGGTGCATTTACAGATTTGGGCAAGCTACGGCAATTTACGGAGACTGATTTTGTGCTGCCGGAAACGCCGCCGTTTGAGTGGATGTTGCGTACGCGTCATGAGAGCAATGGCTGCGGTTCCATCGAATCGCTGAATCGCAAATGTGAATCGCCAGTTCTTAACAATAATAACAACACATACAACATTAATGGCAGTGGCAACAACGACAACCACAACCACAACAATAACAACAACGTGACAGCATTTAAGAGCTTTGAGAAATCAACAGCTCCTTGTGCCGCATCGCCTATAAAGAGTCTACTAATACCCGCCAGCAGTGCCACATTGCGAAACAATTCGGCGCCCATGTTGCAAGAACAGGCATCGTCAGCGTCACAGCTTCAGCAGCCACTGGATGATGACAGTCTGCTTAAGGAGCTACATTTTCCTTTCGCCTCGCCCACATCGCATGTCAACGATCTGGCGAAGTTCTATCGGGAATGCTATCATGCGCCACCATTGCGTGGGCTTAGCGAACTGCAAGCGCCTAGTGCAACAAGCTGTGGTGCCACAGCGGCAGCATCCGCAACAGCTGCGGCAGCTGCATTATCCAGCAATGCAGCAGCTGGAAGCATGGACGACTTATCACGCCAATTGGAACAGTTTGAGACGTCGCTAGATGATTACGATAAGCTCGTCTCGCAATTCGGACTGAGCGGCTCCTCGTCCACGGGCAGTCGCAGCAGTGGCGGCCTTCAGATGAGCAACTGAACGTGAAGAGCTCGGGGGAGCGAGCGCAATCAAAGAGCGAGTGAGAGAGTTAGCTTGAACTAGGGTCGTTTAAATAATAGCTCATACTAGTTATGTTTCAATGATAGGCTCAAGATAAATTGTTCCTTGTGCGATCTATAAATTGTTTATACTGACTAGGTTTTTATGATATTATTATTATCTTCATGTCTCCATTGCATACATATAACAGACAAAAAAACAAATATTTACATATAGGCTAGTTGCAGGGGCTTCAGTTTTGTATAGTTATCAAGTGAGAAGCTCATCACGTTTCACGTTTTCAGTGCACCGACTTACATACGAACATGAAAACACTTACATACATACATACACACATACGTACATGTTATTAGATTGGGGCGTACTCGTCGCTTGTTGTTTATTTCTCTCTTTGTTTATGTGCCTTCATAGAATTTGAAATATATATACATATATTTATATATAATATATGCAGATAAATGCATCGATTCAATTTGTTTATGGCTACAGTTTTGATACTGAGAGATGTAACAGTTGCCTTTTGTTTATCAAAATTTTTATATCAAGATCAAGTGTTGAACTAGACTTTATGCAGACAAAGATCTAAAGTAATACCTAACTATTAGCTTAACCAAATTTGTATGTTTGTGTCAAACGAAAGACTTGAATAGTTTTACAAAATGTACATACATATTTGCTTAATAACATAATTTGTAAATAGCAAGGGAGAGAGATTAAATAAGCAGCTGCAATAACAATTGTAAAATATTATATTCTATTCTATACTATACTATATATTTGTATTGTCGCGCTTTGTTATTTATTGGTTCCACAAATGTGCTAAGTTTTGCATCTTAATCAAATTGAAACATATAGTATCTATATTATATATATATACTAAGCAAAATGCATAAAGGAAAATATGTCAAATTAAACGAAATTGTTTAACAGAATACTAATTGTTTATTTATTTATGCCTGCCAGCGCTTGATTATCAGCTCTAGCTGATCATGATTGTAGCCGTACATATGTACATATATAAATATGTAATAAATAAATTGTAATAGTGGTGTTTAGAACCTGCCCTACGACTCACCTTCAAACCGGGCATTCGGACAGATCGAGCATCTATCCTAATCATAAATACATACAAATTGTTTATAACTTTACATCACGTGGTTCAGCATATAAACTATAAACCTGAACTATATATAAACTATAAACCTAAACAGCTTTTCCTGGAAGTATTATGATTAGAGAGTGCGAACAGCTCTCAACTAGTTGGCTCTTGTTTTAGTTGGTGTTTGCTTTCTTGATCGTTGCAATTAAATATTAAATAACAAACCTCAGAGTCGATGTTGTGCAGTTGTTGTGATTGTGGCTGTGGTTGGGTTTCAGCTGCACTCGTCTCTAACAACAACAACAATGACAAAAACAACCACAGGAAATTAAGTAAATTGGTAAATTACTCTTCGCCCTAGCACTTAGTACTCTTATAAAAGCTATACACCCTATGTATTAAAGTTGAAGTTAACTGAGTTTGCAGACTTTGCATAGAAAAAATTATTTTCAGATGAATCGCTAATGGAGTTCTTAAATATATAAGATAATTTGTTAAATCGCTAATGGGTCTCTTAAATACATATTAGTAAGTGTATTTGCTATTCGATGAACCACAGATAGCAGATTTTTAATTTTAGTTCTATTTTAGCTTGGCTTTAAAAGTGCATTGCAAAATTTTTGTTTTTTTAGTGTCCACGTAGAATGAACGTCACTATGGCAACGACATCGCTAAGGTTAAATAGTTTTATTTTTAAAAATACAACACATAGATGAATACGTGTTTGTGTGAACAGATGTTGCCATGTATTTGTATAAGCAGAATTGCGTATGTGTTAGTATTGCGTTTTTGTTTTGCTACATCTTATCTGTTGTTTCACTAATTTGCTATTTCTTTTTCCTGAGTGCCTTAAACATACATACATACATACATATGCATGTATGTGAGTGCACACATACAAATAACTATCAAAGCGTGCAGGGTTGGTCAGGTAAGTTTGCCCAGCTGCCGTTGAGGAGGTTGTCAAACTTTTAGTGTGACTGTCGCGCCCAACAGGTCATTGGTAGTAGTGCTTGCCGTCGTCACACCAATGCACAAATGAAATTCGCCTTCGTTGATACGCTGTTGCCAAGCGAATTGATATTCGCCTTTGGCTTTGTCGTCGACGTCGACGGCGACTTTGCCTGTGTAAAGTAGCTCGCCGCCAACCTTACTCAACATTGTACCGTCATAAATTGCAAATGCCTGCATGTTGATGTATGTGTGCGCGCGCATAATAATTGGTTTGGCCACTGCGCTCTAGTTTGAAGACCCCGTTACCCCCACTAAGGTTGCACGCGTAGGTCGAACGTTGCCCCAGCCACCGCCAACGTCAACGTTATTTCCATTAGTTTTAGCTTCGGCGTCCGACGGCTGCATGCATATTTGCTTGTGGGGAGCTAACTCTCACTTTTGCACCCACATAAACCAAATTCAATTCGTATTAATTCAACCAGACTTTGGACGTTAGTCATGTATATGAGCGTTGATGGCTGTGAAGATTAAATAAATGCGATAAGAAATTAAGGCTACATTTATCTAAAAGATCTCAACGAGTTAAACATGAAACATATACATAAAATATAAGAAAGTTGATGACATTCACGTGACGTGGAATAAATTAGAATTAAAGTACAGTATTTCGGCATTCCATGATAAGAAAGCTAAAAATGACCAATAAAAGTTCATACAAATGTACAATATAAATAAAAAGAAATACGAAACCGATAAGCAGCAAAAAGTACAAAATTCTTACGATTTCGTTTCACTTGTGTATACGTAAATCCACATTTTTGGAATTTTTACGTGAAAACTTAAAAAAAGATTAATGGCTGCATAACAGTTTACGAGCAGCTGGTCAATGGCTGCACAACAGTTTGAGGGCAACTGGTTTGACGAGTTGCAGTTTATATACACACACACATACATACATATACCGTACATGCGTCGGTATGTAAATGCATATGTACAAAGTCACAAACAGGGGGCGAGTTGTTGTTGTTTGTCTGGTTTGCCGGTTTTTGCGCCAGCTGCAATAATAAATAGCATAATTGAAGTTATATTTAGACACCCACTGTATCCGCTTGCAGCCGACAATTTGAGACAATTTGTGGGCTGTGTTACAGCAGATCGATTGCTAAAGCTTAGCCATATTGAGCTCTAGCCTTATTACGTACTATTCCCAGAACAGTCTAGTAAACATCAGCATAAGAATCATTTGTAATTTAATTATGGCGTCCCAACTGTTGCTACGTGCCATTTGTCTCGTAAAACAGGCCACATTGTAAGGCGCCACCTTTCGGTGTTTACGATTTCGTCTTTTTGTCAGATGGCCTCGACGGCGCTTTGTTTGCTTTCATTATGTAGTGACAAACAAAAGTCGTTGATCGAATCACGCCCGGTTGTTAATAATAGTGGGATAAAGGTACTGTTATAAAATGATAAGCTTCGTAAAATCACAAGGTTTTATATATGTATGCACATACATATATTTGAATGTACATATTCATGTATGCTTGTATAAAATGCAATAAAAATTTCAATGCGGAAACTGAAAAGCAGAAATTGCAAACCTCACACTTTGCCAAGCGGAAGTGCAATTCACAAATATGACATTAATTTCATTAGTATTCAGAATAGAGCATTGTTAAATGTTGTAAGGCTTAACAAATTTCCAATAAACAATTCAAATTGAAAGTATTTCAACATATTAAAAAAATCTGAGTGCCTGAATAATTTTTTTATTAATTTTTATGAATAAGAATAAAGTAATGTAAAGTAAATGATCACTTTTTAAATTATCTTAGTGATTAGTTTAAACTTAGTTTCAATTTAAGTTTAAAATTAGGCGCCTAAGGTAATGTCCGATATTAGCTATCGGTTATTTCATCTCTAATATTGGGCTGCCAACTTTGCTCAATACTAAGCAACACTATGTCGATTATACTGGTTTGTTGGTGGGTAACACAAATATTTATTCTCTTTGAATTCAGCTATAATTTTAATATTGGTAAAAATTAATATATACACTATAATATACAATAACACCTCATATTATTAAAGCAGTAAAAAAAATATTTTTGAGTGATTTTTCGATATTTCGAAGTATTTGGTGCAAAATGACAATGTCCACAATGTCCACAGTCAATGAATGTAGTGGCTAATCGATATCTCATTCGATTACTGCTACTGCTCGGCTAACTTCGACTTGAGAAACTAGGGTGTTAAATAAATATATATATATAAATTTATCGGGCGAGTTTAAGCCAGCTAACAAAGCTGGCCAATTACAAAAAAATACTTACCGGCGATAAGCCGTACTCGTGCACCTACTGTCATATGCAGTTCAGGCAGCAGGGCACGCTCATCAACCACATAAGGACGCACACGAATCTCGCCAGTCAGCCAGCTAGAGTGGACCACGCGGCAATGCCTGCACATCTTGGACACGGTGCACAACAGCTGGCAAATGGCTTACTGCAAAACAACCTGCACAGCACAACTCCCAATTTCCTTCAGTTGGACCACCATCCGCTGCTGCATTTCCTTGAAGGCAGTACAACAGTAAGCTCTTTGGTAGCGAGCAATGCAGCAGCAGCTGCGGCGTCTGCTGCATCAGCAAATACAACAGGGACAGCGACGATTAATCCAAAAACAGAACCCAGCCATACCGAACAGACGCCTCGCTTAAGCGTGGGCACCATTAATATGTTAAGAAGCGACAATCCTGATCGTCCATTTGGCTGTAGCGTTTGCCGGCGCTTCTTCTCTCAACAGAGCACCCTGGTCAACCACATCAAAACGCACACGGGCGAGAAACCATACAAATGCAAGATCTGTGATGCAAGTTTCCGGCAAGTGGCCACGCTCAATAATCATATGAAAATCCATACTGGAGAGAAACCGTACACCTGTTCCTACTGCCCCAAACAGTTCAGGCAAAAGAGTACCCTACAAAATCATCTGCGGATCCACAAATGCTAGCTTGCATCCGCTTATCGTTAAATTCGATTAAATTCGGATAGTTACAAATGCGATACATACATGAAAACATGCGTAATACATTAAAATACATTTAAACAAAAACATGTACTGAAAAGTGTTATTTACCTGCTATGCAGGGCGCAATTAAATGTACACAAAGCTAAAAACTATTGTATATCCAATGGCGTATCTGAGTGTAGATATACATAAATGTGTGTTCGTGTAAATTAATTATTTACTAACTTTAAATTCTCTTCTCTTCCTGTTAAAATCGAACATAATATAAAAATTAGTTAAAATGTTTTTATTGCGTTAGGCCCATTGATTCCAAACAGCAGTAGGAATGCACAAATTTATAATTATTATGATTAATTTTATAAGTAATTCTTCATTTAAATAGTGTATTGTTTATAGCATGTACAGAGCTATGTAAAAGAGATCAGTAACAAAATGTTAAGTTTACAGGCTACATGAATAACAGAAAATGTTAAGCGGACCGAACTAGTAGAGCTACATGACTTACTTGGTTCGCTCAATGAATTGTTCGATTGAACATATACCGAACGCTTTGATACAACTCTACGAACTATTTCTAATTGAGTGAGAATCTTAATAAAAAAGTTAATTTTACTGTGTCAACTTGTGTCAAAGTGTTATCATAGGTAAATAGAGTACATTAGTAGAAATAAACATTCAAAGTGAGCACGAATCAATTGTACAAATAATAAAAGTTTCAGATGAACGCCCAGTTTGGCAAGACTTCTGTTGTTGTTGTTAGCCACAAACACAAATATGAGTGTTGGCCATTTTAGCTAAATTGAGAGAAAATCATGTTTAAATGTAGTTAAGAAACCGGACTCAGCCAGCTGGCTGAATTACCAACACTCATCTGTCGAAGAAATACTTTTATATTTTGTTTGCCGTTTTCAGTGAAGCAAAAAACGTCGAACGTGTACGTAGAAATTGACTGGGGCGAGCTGCAACAAGTGCAACAAGTGAAAGCCAATTACCAGAAATGCCGCCCGTTCAGTAAGCGAAACAAGCAGAACATTCCGAATGGAATATTAACGACATTACATCATCATCATCATAACGCCCATGTGTCGTTCGTCTAATGCTAAATCTGACCCAAATATTCGCTCGCTTTCATTCATTTTGGCCAAGATGCTGAAAAATTAAACTGATTAGAAAAAGCACATAATCAAAACGCATTTTGAATGCAATTTTTAAAATCATTAGTCATTTTTGGTATCTGTTCCACATGCGCTGGGCATTTTCTGCCCGCATAAGTTGCATTTTTCTTGATGTTAAAGCGCCAGATGTTTACTACGTCGATGACGTCATGGCAACATTCAAATGTATTTATAGCTGCCGCTGCCGCCACGCAGTTGTCTATCAGTGTGTTGTTTACCTATTGGCGTATATGTGTGCGTGTATGTGTTTTAGCGTCACTTGCTGTGGCGCGCATTTTAAATGTTTCAAATCTATCTTGACTTCAGTTCCTGCATTTATTGCCCCTCCGCACATCTGCACTGTTTGACGATTGCTTTTCAACTGTCGACACTCGAAGTGCACAAGCCGAAGTTGCTTATGACTACATTGCCCAATTCAATTCACAAGGAATGCAAAGCTTTTTCACAATCGTCAGAAATATGATTCACCCTCGTCAACAATGCTGGTTCGCTTGCTTGATAAGCCAGCCAGCAAAGTATATGATCCCCAAACGTCCCCGCTTTTCAGTTGCCATTTCCATACGCTGCCCCACAGTTCTGAGCTAAAGCCTTCATTATGATGTACTCCAAAGCTGAAGTGTAACTGCTTGCTAATCACGTGTATATTGTTACATGATAATACTAATTTTAAACTGTTTACCTTTGTGCCCTTGCAGAGTCCAGGCCATAAGTATGTCGCTCGGTGCAATGCATTGCACGAGATGCGCTGACGGCTTCGAGCCCACCGAAAAGATTGTCAATTCCAACGGCGAGCTTTGGCATACGCAGTGTTTTGTGTAAGTGCACGCAGTGTACACCCGATATAGTGGACGCGAATATGCCAAATTTATACGTTATTCATTTTTTTGATATTTTCGAGAACAGTTGCGCTCAGTGCTTCCGTCCGTTTCAGGATGGCATTTTTTATGAGTTCGAGGGACGCAAGTATTGTGAACGGGACTTCCATGTGCTATTTGCACCTTGTTGCAACAAGTGCGGCGAGTTCGTAATTGGACGTGTCATCAAAGCCATGTCCGCTAGTTGGCATCCGCAGTGCTTCCGCTGTCAGCTCTGCGCCAAAGAATTGGCCGATAGTGGCTTCATTCGCAATCAAAATCGTGCGCTTTGCCACGAATGCAATGCCAAGGTGAAGGCCGAGATAACGGGTCGCTATGTGTGCCAGAAGTGTCAGTAAGTGGGCGTGGTCTCATATCTTGAGCTTCAAAGTAACCAATTCGTTACAGCGGCCTGATTGACGAGGAACCATTGCGTTTCCGTGGCGAAGTGTACCATGGCTATCACTTCAACTGCTCTGCGTGCGGCACAGAATTGGATGCCACAGCGCGCGAGGTCAAGAGTAGGCCAGGCCTGGCCGCGAACGATATGGTGGGTATACTTTTTGCTGAAAATTTGAATATTATATATTTACCAATTGCTTAATTCTCATTAGAATGAACTGTATTGTCTTCGCTGTCACGATAAGATGGGCATTCCCATTTGTGGTGCCTGTCGTCGGCCAATTGAGGAGCGTGTGGTCACAGCGCTGGGTAAGCACTGGCACGTGGAGCATTTCGTGTGTGCTAAGTGTGAGAAACCCTTCCTGGGCCATCGGCACTACGAGAAGCGAGGTCTGGCATACTGCGAGACGCACTATCATCAGCTCTTTGGAAATTTGTGCTTCGTTTGCAATCAAGTCATTGGTGGAGATGGTTAGTTGCGTTTTTTTTGTTTTTAATATTGTTATTACATTTTGTTCATTTACATTTTAGTTTTCACCGCATTAAACAAGGCATGGTGCGTTCATCACTTTGCCTGTTCCGTGTGCGATACGAAAATGACACAAAAATCGAAATTTTACGAGTATGATGAGAAACCAGTGTGCAAGAAATGTTACGAACGGTTCCCTAACGAGCTGCGACGACGCCTGCGCACCGCCCACGAGATGACCATGAAAAAGAGTGTCTAGTGGAATAAGCTGCAGCATTTAATTGCCCAGCTCAGCTTTTCCAGCACACAAATCTACACCAAAACGTGTAAAGTCAAAGTGCCTATTGCCGTTCAGTTCTTTGTTTGTAGTTGTCCACGTCTAACATTCAATGTTAATTGTCAAAACTAAACAAAACATTTGTGCCTTGTTCATATTTCTGTAAACTTTTCATTTCTGTTGTACTGTGTAATACTTCTTAAACAAAAGAGCGAAAAAAGCTTTGGCATTGCTTAACATTTTTATTGTAGCTGTTTAAAAACGGCAAACATAACACAAACATATTGTATTGGCAGCTGTTATCTAATTGAATTTTATTTATATACATAAATGTTTTTAATACAAAATAAAATTTAAATAGTAAGCATTCGAGTTTTTTTGGGGAAATGGAACCAATGTACTTAAGCAAAATTGAGTCGCTGACGCAATGTTAAGCTCCTGTTAAAGCCGATAACTTATCGAAATATCTGTTTGGCCGTTATGACCACTGCTATGAATATTTTAAGTTTTATTTTCAAGAATAGCCCGGTTGCGAAATGCTACTGAAAAACTGATAAATGTTACAATTAATTTTATTTGTACGGATAGTAATTTTAGTAACTCTCAGAATGAAATAAACTGCTGTAATTAAAATGCAATTCGATAACTCACCCTATTGTTATACTTAATAATAGTTTGTCTTGGTCTTGTAATGCGATATTTATAGTCGATCTGCCAAAATGAAGATGTAATTTATAGCATGCATTAAGGGAGACAATTTAATTGGGCATCGACGTTTATTGATTTGTCTTGGGTTTAAATTAAGCTGGTTTCGTTGTCTGGAAGCCAAATCCTTTGGACTCATTGCATTTCAACACGTTCGGCAATTTCACTTTTTCGACTGCTTGTAAGGAAACAAATGCAACGCACATTAATTAGGCCCCTTCATTAGACACATGCCTATCAAGCGGGTTCCGATTCGGACGAGTACGCCGTTGGCCATATCCAGAGTCGTAGCTGGTGCATTGGATATCCAAGTTTTATGTAATTAAGCCAGACGCGCTCACAATTTAAATTGCTGCTGCGCCAGGCCGGGTTGGACCGAGCCTGCTGGCCGTTCTTCATACGCGTCGCGACTCGTTCTGTGCTGTGTATCTGTATCACGAATTGGCAATTGGGCAGCTCAGTCACAGACTTCTCGCAATTTGCACAGAGCCAGGCGAGCCTTCTCATCATCTTGATCCTCGCCAGGGCAGCAGCAGCAGCGGCAGTGGCAGCAGCTTCGTCGTCTTTCTTGCTGCGACGTTCGCTCGTCAGCGTTTGAGCCAATAATTATGGTTATTAATCGGCTGGAGAATTGGCTGCTAATTTGCAGTTTAGTTACAAATTCTGGCCGCCAGCGTGCAATTACTCGCTTAAATTATAGCTTCAAAATAAACAAAACGCCGCAACGCCCGATCTGGGGGCCAAAAGTTGGCGGGGCAAAGGTCATGCCGTATGGCAAACGCACATTGCATTTTATGTGTTTGCTTATCAGAGAGGCCATCAGGAGGCTACGCTGCTCATCAGCTAATGATGCTCGGACTCGAGTCTCTGCCGCTGCTGCTGCTGCAATCAACGTTCACCAGCTGGACTCATAATTAGATGGCCCAGTGCCAGTCATGGGCGTTACTCAATCATGGCCTGATGGCACAACCCCCAAGACGAATCTATCGCCTCTGCGAGCAGGCAAGCGAGTGAGGGCACGATCAGTGCAGCTACAACATAATTTCCAGACGTCTCCAGCTCGTCCACAGTTGCTTGATCCCTTGTCCAATTTGAGAGGCGCTCGGATTTCGCGGCCACAGCAACACTTTTGCTCTGCCAAATCAAATCGTGTGCTGTTTATTTAAATAACCATAATTTAGCAACGCTTCTCGTCTCCGACCATTGACCATTGCATTTTGCGAGTTCGGGGGCCCATTTATTAACCCACACACTCTGCAGCAACAGCAACAGCAGCAGCATCACCAGCACCAGCACCAGCAGCACTAGACGGGGCCATGGCCAGTGTCTCGGTTTTATGGTCTGAAGTGTTCCCAATGCCCGGCATCATGAATTTTCATGTTTTGTGAGAACATAAAAATTCAATTTAATATGCTTTCGAGTTCGTTTGGAGTAGGTTTTTAGCAGGAAAACGTTTTGTCTACGGGCACCAGTTAATGAAAATTTAGTTCAATCAATGTGGATAGCCGTGTTCGAGTTCGTTTGGGCAATGTGGCGAAATACCCTATCATGCATGTAGTTCGACGATATCTATTTGGTTGTAGGTGTTGATTGGCTGACAGAAAATAGATAAAACGATCTCAGTTGATATTGTCACTGAGCTCATTTCTTGCACATTATGACAATATGAAATGGAAAAGGAAAATGTCGATTGAAAATTGAGCTGAATATGTATAGAAGGCTAATATATATTCAGGTGTATCAAGTTTCTGTAAAGGTCTCTAATTTGCATAGTTTATCTTTACCAAAAGCAATTATGACTGAACCAAGGAAAAGTAACTGAACTTAAAGAAGAGTAAACTCTACTTGTAATCAAATAAATTGGTAATAATTAAGAGAAATAGTGAGCGTGGGTGGGATTAAAAGAGAGATTGGTGATAAGTTAGTATGAAAGGGAAAAGAAATGGAGCATAATTGTGAAGGCAAAGATAAAGAAAGAGAGCGTGGGAGAGACAGAGGGTTACAAAAGGGAGATAGAGAAACATAGATACATGGAGAGGGAGTTAGAGAGTTATACAGAAAGAATAGAGAGAGAGATATATAGAGAGAAACATTAATATAGAGAGATCGATAGAGGTAGGGATAGAAAGAGAGTGAAGAGACATGGAGATATGGGAAATAGCAGTGAAAGACGGGCCAAGAGAGAAACAGAGAGAGAGAGAGAGAGAGAGTGAGTGAGAAAGAAAGGAGGAGAGCAGTACGAAGGTGTGGGGATTGAAAGAAAGAGGTAAGCGAAATGGAGTATGGGTGAGAGAGACGGGAAGACAGAGACAGAGGCATAGAGAGAGAAACAGATTGATGGAAAGAGGGAAAGAGAAAGAGAGAGATAAAAAGGGAGACAGAGACGAAAAGAGAAGGCAAAATGTGGACGACAATTTGCAAACTGTAAATATGACAAAGTTAAATGAAGCTTCATCAATGTCTTAAGTAAGTTTTCTATAATTATGAAATATTTAATAACTAAATTAATATTTTCAGTGTATGCAATATTTATCAATGGAAGATGTCAACCTTTATTTTGACATTATAAGAGTGGACGATCAGTCCACTCTTATAATGTGAGTCATTAAAAAATGAGTTTTTTTTTTTAGTAATTAGGTTTAAGAAAAGTAGAAATTAGTTTTAGAGAATATTGTTCACATGCGTTATATAATTGTGCCTATATGCATGTGCATAGCTGTAGTGCTTGGTGCATAACACAATAAATGCCATTATTAACGAATAACGATTTATGATGGGGGTAAGTGCTACGAAATTGGCCAAGTTAAAGCTTGGTTCGCTGATTCCTCTGTTCGCTGGTGCACTCAGCACGTCAGGTTTAAAAAATGAGCTTGTTAACGCTCCATGATGAGCCTAGTTAGTGTCCGCTGCCATGATCTAAACCATATAACCCGAAGCATTGAATCGATCTGTAGATGGATGGATGGGTGGATGGATGGGTGGATGGATGGGTGGATGGTTAGCTGGATGCGCTTGCAGCCCGGCCAAGTCGTCATTAGAGGTTTATGCAAAATTACAACACGATAACACGTAATCATTAGCGTTGCTCTCTGATGCTTAAGATCGCTGCCTCAGACGGTGTGAGCAAACAGTTTGAGATGCAACAACAACAACAACAGCAACAGCAACAGCAACAGCAACAATTTGCAGTTTCATTATCAAACGAGGCAAAGAACATAATTTGACTAAGGCCAAAACATTTGGTTACGTCTACGTCTACGGCTAAGAGTCCAATTTGTAGTTGTTGTTGTTGTTGTTGTTGCCGTTGCATGTGCTCAGGCTAGTAGTCAGAGTCTATCGATCACGTTTCAAACTGAAAGGCACGACCATGACGACGATGTGGCTCCGATTATGGCCACGTTCTTGTTGTTGTTGCGGTTGTTGCTGTTGCATAGTTTGCACAAGACGCCATTGTTCTATTGGGTGCAAGAGGAGTTGGGAAATGCTGACGGTTTTAAAACTTTTATGCAATTAATTGCAACAGTTTTGTGGCTGGAATGCGCTGCTTGTCTGCTGGGCCCTTCGTCCGTCGGTTCGTACGTCTGTCTGCCCGCTGCTGCTGCTGTTCTAACCACTTGCCGTTAATTTTAAAATTGTGCTCACGTTCCGGCAATTTGCTGACCACCCACATGCAAATGCGAATGCAAATCAAAGCAAGTAGAAGTACTCTATTCGGGAATGCTCGATTTGAAGATACCCTAAACTATGCTTAGATTGTTATCACATCTATTGACTTTTGCAAGAGTTTAACTTATTTAGACAGACAGAGATGAGTGAATAATCGATGGAACTGGAGTTGCTTTCTTGGAGCTGTTACATGTAAAGACACAAGCCTATTATACCCGTTTAACCCATGAGCTATGGGTATAGAAATGCCACCCCTTGCCTGAATTCGATTCGTGGAAAATTAGACGCCAGTTTTGACTGCCCGGCAGCTAGTGTGCGAGCTGGAACAAGCTGGCACTGAGCATTTCATTTGGCAATTGCAAGTCGCCAGTTGCATGTTGGCAGTTGCAAGTTTGTATTGAGTCTGCGCCAGCTCTTTGTCTAATTTGACACTTGGGGCAGTTGCACAATTGAGTTGCAGGCCGACAGGTTAGTGGAAAAAGGAGGCGCCTCTACCGACTCTACTCTGGCTGCGTTGCTTACCAAGAAGCGGCCGCAATTGAAATCTGTTGGCTGAAAGATTGCATTGGCAATGTGGGTGGATACTATGATGTCTCTGTAATTTCATATAATGAATGACCCACCATATGTACATTTAATATAGAATTTATATGCTTAAAGAAAGCAGCTTACAAAACTTTATTTGTGGCCATGTTATGAATGATATTTATTACATTTTCTATACATATTTAGTTTATGGACAATTTTAAAGAGTTTTGCTTTGTACACAGGTACACAGCCTTGAATCATAATATAATATCATAATAATAATGGATTTTATTAGCTAGAAAATTTTATGAGATTATTGTTAAATTG